AATAAATAAAAAAATATCTTCAACAGTTAAATTTTTAAATTAGCCAAATATTATGAAAAATTTAAATTAATGTTTAGTAGGTATATACCTAACAAGTATCATAGTATTGGTTACTTACAAGATATTTATCTTCATCAGCCAAAGCATGTTTATGAACAAATAAACCTATATCATTTTGATGGTACTGTGCATTGCTACTTAAACATTGAATCTTAAAATGTAAGAAGAATAAAGCATGTGTTTTAGTATATTAAGCTATAATATGATATTATGTAGTATATTTCAAGCATATCATAATATTTACTAATAAATAATAGCATATTATTGCATATTTGCATATAACTAAATAACTAAATAGAAGCAATGTCCAAATCAAAACATACAAATAAACTTAAGAATTAAAAATGTTAAGTTTTAATCATTAACTTTTCCTAACTTAGTACTTACAGGTTGTTGTGTTATTGATTTTTAAATTTATATAAATAGTTTTATAAATTTAAATAAAAATTAGAAATACATAAATGTATGAACATTTAGATTATTTCAAAAAATAGTTCAATTTTATTACCACAAGTTCTTACTCCTTTACTAGGTTGGTCTTGATCTGAATCACATTTTGACAAGCTATTCTGTTCATCAGTTTCTTTAACTTTTTTTGAAAAAAAGAAATAAAGGCATTTGACTGTCTTTTCATTTTTATTTAATAATTTAATATGTAATTTAGTAATATATTAAATAATAGAAAACAATTGACACACATCCACAGATCACAGTTAAAGAAAAATATTATATTATTATAATATAAATAATAATGGAGATTGGTATTGCACTGTTGCTCAACGTTTACAGTAATGTAATGTTCCAAAATAGTTAATACCACAGAATAAATTAATATCTAATATCATTAGAATAATAATACATTGTTTGTCGACGTTGCATTTTATCGAAGTAAAGTTTAAGTAATGACTATTTAGCGTATGAGTTTCATGTTTATATTAAATTCAAATACCTACTATATTTGGAACTTCCATGGAAAAATATGAAATTAAGTTTAAGAATGGCAAAAATATTTTCCAAACATGAAAATACAAATAAAATGTCATACCAAGAAATAATAATTACTTCTTAATAATAAACGAATTATGATTATGAATAAAAAATCTTTATGTATAAAAGAAAGTCAGGTTATTTACAGAATTTATAATTCAAGAACGGCTGGACCGATTTTGATGATCTCTGATTTTTTGGATTCGTCTACGTACTAGAATAAAAATAACTCTAATCTTGGCAATAATACAAACAATTATCTAGATAAGCAAAAATTTTATCTTAGATAAGTAATTAGATAACTTGGCATTATTTATCTAGATAAAAAAAAAGATGACAAACAATCTAGATAATTTATCTAGATAAGTCCCAACACTGGACTTATGGGACATACTGTATATCCCATACCAACGGTCACAATATAGAAAATTGCTTATTAACAATATTGTACATCATATATAATAATATGGACAGACAAGAGAGAAAAGAAATAGATACTATATAATAATATTAATAATAATGGTTTTAAGATATCAAAATTTAAATTTTGAAAATGTTAACCTTAAAGTTAATTTATTTTAAATATTAATTAATTAAATATATTTAAGAAAAATCTAGATGTTTGGTGTTTGTCTTCCATAAATACTTTTTATGTTCGGCTCCCAAAACTACATGAATACCTCAACATTTTACCAGCTAAACTACTGACAAACAATTTTTTTACCCAAAGTTAGTAACTTTCGAATAAAACTTCCATAACCCCATGATGTCATAGGCTTACTAACAAAATGTTGACATTGTATTCATATAAATTTTTTCTAATATTGTTTAAATTTGTAAATCAGAGAACATTATTGGTTATTCTAGGTATAGATTATGTTATGAGTAAAAACTATAGATTATAAGAGTGTCTTTTTGGTTCTGTATTTTGTGCTTTTATTATTCATTATTTATGCTATCTAATACATAAGTATATTAAATTAATTTTATTTTAAAATAATTTGCATTCCCCCCATTAAGCCGATGTAAAAACAATTAATATATTATGTAATTTTATATTAAACAATATACATGTTATAGATACATGAACAAAATATGGTATATGTTTTAGTACAACTTAACAATAATAATCATTTTATTTTAATACATTTGTATATCTGTGAAACAGTAATTAGAGACCTTTGTTGTAATATCCAATACTCAAATGAAAATTTTCGGCCATTTTCTGAAATATATAAATCATCCTATAAATAGAATAATAAAATAAATTTCAATTATCAAATATATTCATAAGAAATTTATAATTTCATAGATAGGTATATTGATGTACTGTAAGGTAACTTTTAATTTTATTATTAACAGTTACTGAAATTGGTTTAAACAAAAAGGAATTTATTTTGATAAATGTGTACCAACAATATGATGTTCTTCCAATACAATTATGAATATTTTTACTGTGCAACGAATACACTTTACTTATACGCGATAAACCCTTATAACTATAATACCCGGTTGCATGAAAACAGTTCAATAAACTGTTGGGTCGTTAATATGTCGATTGTAAAATAGTAGAAGTTAAAGCACAGATTGCGTTTCATGAAAGTAGTATAAATTGTATCAAATAATCAGGTTATAACCAATTGTTTGGTAGTACACAAATATTATTCTTATCAAGATTATTATTTTTTCGAAGAGATAAGCATGTCTTGGTAATTTAATTGTTAATTGTTATTTGACGGATTTGACTTATCTTTAAGCCGCCTTGTTCTTGGAAGATTTATAAAAATTTAGAGAATAATATCGTCATTGTAATCATCAGACGAGGATGACAAACATTACAATTAATTATTTAAATTTAAAATGTCTTAAAACAATAATATGAAAAAAAAAAATAATTATTCAAAATTAAATAAACAATAATAATAGAAACAAGTGATAGTTTTTAATTTTACATTTTAAATTTAACGATTAGGGATAAGGGATAACGGTTCTGCAAATATTTTAGATCCGAAATCGAACCTATAAATTATCGAACTGATAACGCTTTATTAGTCTTTTATTTATCAATTTTAAAGAACAGTTTTATTTTTCGTTATATATTATAATTTGTACACTTGCCTGCATGTAAATAGGTAAAACATATTTTTTATTTTTCAATTATTAGAAAACTAAATATAATTAAATAAAAATTTATAAATTAATGTTTAAAATAAAATCTTGATTTTATTTAATTTTAAAATATTTTATTTAATATAAAAATAAATAAAAAAATAGTTTATGTATAGAAATAAACAAATAGATGTTGGAGTATTATTATATTGTACAATTTTAAATTATATTGTTATATAAAATAAATATTTTAAAAATATTTGTTTTACGTTTTATTTGTAATTTGAATGATGATGTAACTACCTACCTACTCTATTACATTTGGAACAATATTTCTAAATAACTCAAGTGATGATTCTAACATTATTAGGGCTTAAAAATGTATATTTGAGTGTGCAATTATTAATATTTAAATGTAAAAATAATATATGTATTTTAGATACAAATAATACATTTAAAATTTAATAAAAGATTCATTACTTGTAATTCAGGTTCAAGCTTGTCTATTGATATAGGTGATATCTGTGGATAAATTGCACAACTAATTGGAATCGCAAGTGCATAAATGATACCACACAATAACATTTCGATAAGCTCTTGTAGCCATTCCATATTTGCTGTTATCCCACTTTTTCCGATTATTTCCATTAAAATTGGCGTTAACACTAGAATCAATAGAATTTTAAGTACTCAATATATAAATTCGTTCTTAATCAGGGCCCCCGCATACAATTTCGGGCCCCTACACTAAGTGGTTGTCCGGGCCCTTTATAAAATTTCCAAAAATACTATTTATATATATATATAACAATTTTAGGAATAATATTTGTTTTTTTACTATGCCAATTCAAATTCAAGATTCATAAGCATTTCAACATTAATAATGTCTATTTTATTTTTTTAATTACAATGTTATTTAAATTAAAAAGGTAAAAACAAGTATATTTTAATTTATATTTAATATATTTTTTAAGTTAAAATTTTATTTTGCGGGCTTTGAGCCCAGCGAACTCAGTAATAATATCGTCAAAATTGATTGTTGAAGCCAATCCATTCATTTCTAGGTAATCATAGGTTAATCCGCATTTTGAACTATCGAAATAACTAAATATATATATATATATATATATAATATTATTTTAAAATATTATTTAATGTAAAATAAGTATTTCTACTAAAATTTCAAAAATTACAAATAAATTTCAACGGGCCCACGAGCCCTTAAAATAGTCGGGACCCTGTACTCAAGGTTCATCAGCCCCCCTTGTGGGGGCCCTATTCTTAATTATAAATTTTAATCATAAGAAAACATGAGTATATGAAATTACGAAAAATATACAAATTTCAACATAATATATTATATTTAAGTGCTTACAAATTCCCATAGAAGACACCGTAATACGACTGATTAATACAGCTAAAATACCTCGACGAGACGCAATCTTGGAATTACCAAGAAATTTTTTATTCTCATCGTACACGGCGATTCCATTTTGCAGTTCTCTAAATTAAAAGTTCAACTTATTTTTAATATTATTAAGTCATGTTATGTCGAAAATTATGTTTATACTTTATTCGCATTAGAGGTATGTTAATACAATGCGCTACAACAGCAGCTACAAATGGCACAAAACGTTCACAAATAGGTGGTAAATTCTAAAAAATTAAAATGTATTAAATAAAAGTGAATAATTGTATTACTACAGTTATTGATAAGTGCATTGAAAATATTCTAGTGTTTAATTTGTTCAATTTACGTTTATTCTACGAACAAGTCAATAGTATCAACATTTGAAAATGCAACCGAATTATGACCAAAATATTTATTTTCAAATTTAATGTTTCTGCTTAGCCTTATCAATTTTAAATTTGAAATATCCGCTTAGTTATATTATTGTATAATAAGCGGTAGGTATCTTATATCTCTATCAACATTATGTTTTCACTATTTCCAAAAAAGTTTTAATTTCTTATTAATATTAAATACTATGATATTTTAATATTTTAAATGCTCATAAATAATCGATATAATGAAACTTAGCGCTAAAATTGTATTTATTATTATGTGTGTAATTATTTATGACTTTTATTATTCATTACTTAGCAATAATTTAATTATTTAATTATTCTTACCATAATTAATCTATTTAAACCCACAGCTGTAATTAAAGCAGCACTAGTAGTTAAAATATATGATTTCAATATCTGACTGTAAAAAAAAAAATACATAATTAAATCAGCACACTATCAGTTATAAAAAATAGTTAGAAGTAATTAGTAAAATAGAATATCATACTCGAAGGATATGGGTATGTTTCCACTTCGATTAGTATAGTTGACTAGAGCATTATACGATTGATTGAACCACTGCCAGAAAATTAAAGCAATTGTGCTTCTGTTTGCAAACAATTTTGAAACATTTAAGTTTAACTATATAATTTTATAGTTAATATATAATACGACCTATCTACATAATAATGTTTGTATTAAAAATGTTTATTTTCACTATATTTTAAATATTATCTGCAATGGTAATACGCTTTGCTTGGTTGAGAGATTATAAATAATTATTTGTTTTTAACATTTTTTATTATTTATTTAAGATTCTTATCCTAGAAGATTATTTGTTCTATAATTTCAATTGAAAACAATTATAACTGTTAATCGATATTTTTAATTTAGGAAGCAGACTTTTAATTAATTACTATTTTTGTTAACATTTATTAAATCAGCATTATGCTAAAAGAGTGTGGGGATAATTAGGACACATAGAACATGACTCTGGGCTTGAACTAAAATATATGTACGTCAAAAATACTATTTAGTTATTATGCATCATAATAAATTTTATTTGTGTTATGAGTCCATTAAAAAATCACAAGAAGTTTTGTGATTTTTATAACGAATATCAAATATAATATAAAAAGTAACATTTTCTTTCTCATTAATTCTCTAAACATATATAAGAATTACAGGTAATTGATTATGAAATCAAAAATTAACATTATTAATGAGAGCCTAGAAAAATTATTAAGAAAATTGTTTATATATATATATATATATAAACTAAATATCTTTAAAATGGGTTCAATTTTCGATAATTATAAATATTTTATTTGGTTTATTGGACTAATTCGCCATTAATTCAGAATTGTGCTAATTCGGTATGCCCTCTACCGTTAAGTTTCAGATTCGGTATGTGCTCTACGGTCTTCATAGATCGTTTTGACTGGGTTTTATTTTATATTTATATTTTTTATATTATTTTATCGATGATTCTTTACAGACAAATGTCTGGTCAGTAATTTTATATTTTGTAATGTTATTTATGATTCGGTTTGCGCACTACCGAAATGTGTCCGAGTCGGAATATGTGATTTTGACTGAGTTATATCAAAACGATCTCTATTCACGATCTGAATATCTTCTAACTTGGTGAAAAAAAGATCCGGACTGTCTTGACGGTAAAGTCGCCAGCAATAGTGATCAAGATGGGACTGCAAATGATTAAGAGGAATACCCCTCATTTCCTTCAATAATTTAATTTTCGCGTCCAACAATGACTTTTCAATGTTTCGAGTTTGAGCTACTGTATTTGCAGATAATTAGAGATTATCAACATTATTAACAGTTTAAAGAAATACCCAACATGTTATATAAAACCGAGGCACATGTTCAGTAATTGCAGTGCAAATCCGCGTATTGAACGTAGACCGAGTGTAAAACGCCAAAACCGGTAGAGCGCATACCGATCTACCACCTTCAGAATTTATACCATTTATAATTATTAAAAGTAAAGTAAAATGAAATAAAAATTATAGAACTTTTTTTATTTTGAATAAAGTACCAATAGTTAAGACGTCTCTGTGTTGTTATAATAATTAATAACTTGTGATTGCTGTACAGTCTATACAAAGTATTTAATAATATATAACAAAATACACTCACTTGTAAAAAGAGACCATACCATAAGTAATCAGCATATTCATTGGTACTTGGGCAGACATTCTTCCAAAAATATTCATTTTTTCTCCTGTATCCGGGTGGAATGCTGAATCAACCACAATTTTGGCCTTGTAGATATCATCTATTGTTAACCCATCTGGTATATTTCCACCATTACTGAATAACTAGCAATTAAACTTCCGATTTTTTTTTTTTTTTTTAATACTATAATTTTATTTTGTACATGCTTACTTACTTATAGTCAGTAACGATCTGTTTACATTTCATTAATTCAAAGTTTGATTTCAAAATATTCAATGGATTAGTAGTAGCGAAAAAGTACCTGACACGGCCCGAGTAGTGGGCTTGATTCCAACGAGGTATGTTTAAGTCTACTCGTTCGTCCATGTTCGGAGTTTGAGGTTCAATAATCTAAATACTACTGAATGATATCGATCGTATACAAATAAATGGACTCTCTAAAAATCGAACACTGATTATATTTAATGTTAGCGATATAGTATGATCTATTACAGTGGGGAGGTTTATAATTTCTGAACTATTTGTACACTGTTATTATTTCAAATGTTATTTATATAGATAATTTGTAATTAAATTACTATTATTTGACTACAAATTATGATTATTGATTATATTATGGTGTGCTATAGAACAGGAGACAATACATTAACACGACCTACAACCAACGCAATATGCGCATTTACGTCTATTCCACAGACTTACAGAACTATTGAAAATATGATTAGTCCCTTTTTTCGGAAGTTACTTGCAGGGACTTGTACGGCTATTGTTGGATTCAATAAAATAAGTTCTCTAGACTGCATCATCCATAGTATTGAAAATATTTGTAATTACGTAATTTCAAATTCAATTGTAATTTATAACTAATATTGGAAAATTCAAATTATTTGTATCACTTCAGTAGTTATATTGCAACATAAATTAAATTAATTAAAATAAATAAAATCACTTACCATGATGAGAATGGTTTTCATAACTAAGGCTCAGTCAATGTATTCATATGGTATTGGGAGTTGAGACGGTGCCTATAAATACACCTTAATTTACTAAAAATCACTATAAATTCTGTTATTAAAATATTTTTTAAAAAACACTGTAGGATGAGCAATATATTGTAATATTGTTAATTTAATTTATTCAATTAAACTCAATTATAACCACAACATATATTATCAAATATGTTTTTCCTTGATATTCAAAAATTTAATCATAACCATTGTACAAGAACAAAACAAACTAATATGTATTTAATTCCTATGCGCAAGGGTGTATTTAGGGGGGGGGGGGTGATATGGGTGTTAGAACACCTCCCATCAATTGTATTTAATCGTATTTCACTAAATTGCTAACTTACAGTATAATTTGAATAAACGTATACAACTTGTAGATTTTACATATACCGTTTTAATATAATCATTTATATAAATAGGTATATGGTATCTATTGATGTAATACGGGAGGGGGTAGAGCCCCCTACTTACTATAAGTCTATTCAATTTTAAAACACCACCGTTAAATGAATCTTGGATACGCTACTGCCTCTGTGTAGAACAGAATTTGGAAAAAAAAAACCCCATTAATGCTGGAATTAAGATGGCAATGGAATTAGATATAGATGTTATGAGTAGGTAGTTTGTTTACAATCTTTCGATTTTATAAGAAATTGAAAAATGAAAAAATTTAATTACTAGCATAGAATATTTTTTATTTGTTATATTTCAGTGAGATTGTTATACTTATTTTGTAACTGTTTAAAATTATCAATAATCGATTTAACTGTTAGTTATATGTTATTTAATTGTATTAACTGTACAATTATTTGACACTTAGAAAATGGCTAACTTAAAATATTTACAAATCAGTAAGAAATGTTTACAGTATTTCACAATTTCTATGTTCTAACTATATTGTTACTAATAATAGTAATAGGTATGTACAATTAAGATTTAATTAAGAATTAGTAAAAGAGAATCAAAAATAAAAAATAAAACTAATAACAATTAGAGTAGTAGGTCGTGTGGGCATCCATGCTAGTGACAACGAAAAGGAGAGGGGGACTTAGATTGTAGTATTTGCACTGCTGGCAGAATGTTAGTGGTTGAAGAAGTTGATTGTTGATTTTTCTATATAATCCGTAATAGAGGGTAGCTGGAAGTCCATATGCAGTGCAACATTACGTACGATACCTTCTAAGTAGACATTTCAGTTAAGGCAAATGATGTAAATCAGTAATATTTTAAACGGGAGTAGGGGTTTAAGGAAATTATATATTACTCGTAAATGAATAAAAATTTTTTATGATTAAAACATACTTTGTATAAGTATAATAATGAACAATTTGAAATGTATATGAATTATTAAATAAAATGAAATAAAAAATTGTTTAACTGATAGTAATAAAAACATATCAAGGCACAAAGTTAACCTTGAGAGAAATACTTCAGTATTTATTTTACGCATAATTATAAAGGTAATTATTTTCATGATGCGTCATAAATATAAAAAAATCTTCTCTAATACAACAATCTTCAATATATCTAACAGACAAGGATATCTACCCTACTCCAGATGTGTCACAAGTTCTCTTTGCTAAAATAGAAAACAATTACACTATATTATTATTTTTTTTTTTTTACAGAACGAGTTTAAATTAGTGTAAAATAATTATATACTAGGGGAATACTTTGTACAAATCTAATTTACAAACATAACAATCGGACGCTTTATATAACATGAATTACGGTGTTTATATTATATCTAGATTTTAAACCCTTATGATGAAATTTAAAGAGAAAGAAATATTGATATTAGAGAATAGCATATTTTTTTTGTAGAAATTTGATTAATAAAGGATTAGTCAAGATAGATACACCCACTTCTTGATTAGAACATTTTACAATATATTTATTGCCAAACAAAACGTATACTTTACAAAATGTTAGAAATTGTAAATCAGAATTCTTCGAAGAATAGAAAATTAGAATAAATTAACTAAACAAAGCATATTAAGCAAAAAATTCATGATTTCTATTTTAATAGTACAGAAAAGTTGTGATTTATAGGGGGCATCTATAGATTGCAGAGTAAATAATACTTCAACTTATATTCAGTTATTTTAATATTTAAAAACTTTCCAGTAATAGGAATTTCTGTTACTTCAGTTATATACCCCCCTAGTATTAGATTTTTTATGCAGTAAAAGGATATTATTTTTATTGCTTCTGCTTCTCCTTTAGCCATTGGCGCAACTAGACATTTGAACTAGGGGGTGCTTAAGCTCAAGGTTTTTTTGTGACTTGATGAACCATAACTTGGTTAAAAAATAAATAAAAAATGAATGTTCCAATTCACCTTGAGTTTCGGGTGACATGAAACAGTAAGGTATTTTTAAATGTTTTTGAGCATTTAACCTGCAATATGTTTTACTTAGAACATAAATAGGATTTTTACAAACATCTTTGTACATATGATAACCTATAGAAGTCAATAGGTAACCTAAATATTATATAAAAAATAAATTAAACACATTCTCTTTTGTGTCTCAAACAGTACGAGTTTGGTGAATTAAATTTGGTCTACAAAAAAGTATTTTTATGATAACAGTTTGTAACATCAATTTCTGTTTAATGATGAGAAATATCATAAAATGTTTCTGATTGGAAATGTAACAACATAAAATATCATGAAAAGATAAACAATATATAACAAAACTCTTGAAGTTCTATCAAATTCAATAAAGAAAAGTCATAGTGTTCCAAGTCACCACTCAAGTTCCATTTCACCCGTATTGACGATACTGATTAAAATATACCATACAGATATAGTAAGCACAGACTATTTAAAATAACTTGGCCTCTCTGGCATCCTTATCTCTATTAAATTAAAATCAACACATCCAATTCAACATTATAAATAACAAAATGTTATTTCACAAAAATTACTATTATGTTATAATTGTAATTCGATAAATATTAAACTTTTTTTTTTCAGTTTTTAAACGATTTTTTTGGGGGTGCAAAGGACCCAAAGCACCCCCCCCCCCATAGTTGCGCCAATGCCTTCAGTTTGCAAAATCTTTTGTTGACGTTCTGTTTGGCACATTCAACAAAGAAGACAACACACTGAGCTTCTTAGTGGGCTACTTGTTTTGCCTCTACAGCTGCTATATATTCTTTGTCAAAACTTAATTCAGTTATGGAAACATCATCCAGAATAATGTTAATATCACGAGGACGATCAAAAAGTTGTTTCCTAATGAGCAGGGAAACCTGTAAAAATATAAATACAATATTATAAATGATAAATTAAGATTTTATAAAGGAAAAAATAATTAAATAGCTATATAGTACATTTTTATGGAGACAATACAATTTTAATAAATATGAATAGTAAAAATAATAAAACAATAAACAAATGTAATTAAGGATGTTGACCATTGAATTATACTTAGATTTTTCATATTTTAATTTGCTATGGGATTTCTGACTTAAAGTTCATAAGCAAAAAATATTTGACAATATTATGATGACTCCATTATTATAATATTATTTATAACTTTATTCTTAAATATGACTTCTATTTCCAATAATAATAATTAAATGTTGTTCCTAATGTAGTAATGTAAAATAAATGAATAAAACTATTTGTATTAATTATTTATAATGCCAAACAAAGTCAAATTTGAATTAATATTTTTACTTTTTAAATATATTTAGGAGAAAAATTATAATTTAATATTCATACTAGATTTGTGGCCTACAGGAAATAGTTAAAAGATCTCAAATATAACTCTACAAATTATAAATAATAAAATAATCTTTTCAAGCTTAACTTATGATGTTAATCAATTATTATTATTTTATGAAGATAATTTTCAAACTTTTAATAACTAACCTTTCTTTCTTTCTTTTGAGTTAAACGGCTGCTACGATCATCCCGTCTCACAACCAATTCTCCAGCCGTTTCTAATCATCGCCGAATTCTTCCAGTTTGCTATGCCTCCTAAGTTTTCTATATTTTTCTTAACTATATCTTCCCATCTCAATTTTGGTTTTCCCAAGGGCCTTTTTCCTACTGGATTCTGTTTTAGCATCATTTTTAATAGAGAGTCCTGGCTCCGCATTATATATGACAACTGGAACGCTTACTTTACAGTGTTGCCCGAACGAACATGTTACAAAGAGATGGCGAATAAAATAGGTGTTTCTGTCTTTGTTTAACATATAGCGCCATAGTGGTATATAGGATAATATTAATTTCTTTTTTTTTCCATTCCATCTAAAATTATTTAAATTATTATTTAAGACATTTGAATCCATAGATAAGATGCTAAATGTCTCTGTAAATGAAGCTGGTTATGAATTCATTTGTTTTGAGATTTAAGGCTTGAACAAGTCTAAAAAATAGTAATGAATGTAATATCAGTAATTGGAATAAATAATTTTCTGAGCCACAAAATTATTATTACCAGAAAATAAATTATTAATTATTACAGATTTATTGTACTAGCATGACAATCTGTTGTCGTATACACCAATTAAAATTGTCCGTATAGACACAAAAAAATATAGTTTTTATAAAAGTAACAAATAAAATAACGCATATGTTTCCGTAATTGTTGTGTCACATGACTACCACGGAAGAACCTCTTCATTAGTTCATTCTGTCTCATATATAAATTTAGGTACCAATAATAATAATAATATAATAATTTGCTTACGTGCTAACAGTAGAAAAAAAAATGTTTATGCTAGCTTATTTTCTATTATGACATTAATATGGCCCGAATTTAAATCGCATAATACAACACTGTGTACTTATTATCTTCAGCTAAATATTTGTCCTGATATGTTTCCTGAATGAAAAATACAATTCTAAATTTAGATAAAGAACATTCATTAAAAATATTTACATACAGGTTAAATAAAACTTTAATTTGTGGAGATGACCACGTTCGTCATTCGATGTAAATAATAAAAAAAAAAAAAAAAAACTCACAACGGTTTTGTATATATATTTTATTCGCGTTAAACTTTACATTTATGTCTTCCGTGCGTGCCATTACCACAATAAACTGACGCCACCGAGGAAACCGGACAGAACTATATTTTCATAAATTAAACAAAATTGAACGTTATCGTTATCGTCGCGGTTGCGACAGTCGCCGACGACGTACGACGATAACTTGAAAAAATAATAATAATAAAGGGACGGGTATAGTTCTTCCGATTTTTGATAACAATTGATAACAGCAAACGTGATAAGAACAAAAAAAAACCTAATGCCAACCACCAAAGTGTAAATAAAATCCCAATTCCCGTTTCGTTATCCAGCACATAATATAAATGAATAAATAAATAATTGATTTCATACTAATAGTAATTTTCGAAAAATGTATCCTGAGAAATTTTGTCTTCTACAAAATAAAACACTGTTTAGTTATTTTTTAATCAGTAAAGTTAGATTTTAATTGTTTATTATTTAAATTTAATTAATTGATCATACTTTAATAATTTATATCATAATTTATTTACACTAACCACTAAGATCACAGAACCCATAAGCTTTGCCACTCTTATCAGGCCAAAAACCATCTCTAATTGACATAGCATCATAAATTAAAGCAACATATTTTACATGTGAAAATTTAGATGCTTCAGTTTTCAGTTTTAGTTTGAAATATTCTATTACTTCATATAAAATACCAGGAATACAGTTTCTACTTGCCAACCATCTGCGAATTGTTGATGGATCAGGAAGTATACTTTTTTGTCTTAAGAAAACATATGCGCGAGGGGAATAAAAATGTTAAGTGTAAAGATTTTAATGACTAGTAAATATTATGAAATTTAATATAGGAATTGCAGTAGAAATTTAAGTTAAATTAGGGCTACCTTGTAAAATTTAATTAAACAATACTAAAGAAATATAACTTAAAAATAAAAAAAATCATGTGTTTAATAGTCAAATTGATTTAATAATAACTTTTTGTACATATTACAAGGTATAAAAAACAATAAAAAAATTAGTTTACAGTATATGAAAACAATAAGGTTGTAATATATTATTATATATTAGGATATGGCCCGATTTGTCGTTGAACATAACCATCATTACGGTGACCAGTTCTTAAAAACAACAATAAGTCACCGTCTTGATTCAGCTGCTGTATACATCCTCTAATCATTATAGATGTATTTTCCCTTTCTTTTCTGGACATTTCATTTCTAACCTAGTAAAGTATATACAATTTACAGAAATGAACCACAGTTAAATTTAAAAGCCATCTCTGTACCATCAGTACAATAAGCGCAAAAAAGGTTAAAGAATTTAATATTATAACAATATGTAGAAGCCATTCATTACATAAAAGTAATATTTTTCATATGGGAATCAATATATTAAAATTTCTATGAAGTATAACTGACATCGCATAATATTTTTGAAGTTGTATGGAGTCTATAATGATTTAAACTTCTACAACGAGTTAGGCCGCGTGCACATTGGATAGCATTGCGCGGTGATCGGTGGGCGATAAATGGCAAGCGTTGACAAAAATAAATCATACACGGTAATTTTGTCGGAATTGTGTACACTTTTCTGGGGCGTTGAGCGTTAGCGATGCGCTGTGCGCTATGCGTTGTTTATTTTTCAAAACGTGCAAAATAATAAATAAACGCGAGCGGGACCAAGAGGAATATCGTATAATTTACTGTAGATATTGATAAAACGTTTTTACAAAATAAAAAGAATTCATCGTGCTAATTGAATGCTTTAAATCGATTACTCTTTCTGTTTTATCAATAGTTTCGAACAATTTTTTTCAAAATTAAATTAACGGATTTGAGCAAGACATGACGCAGACGGTCCACCGGTGATTGAATTGCTGACCGTCGGTGTGGAAACCAAAGTAATCTCATCTTTGAATAGTTGTGAAAATTTAAGTATTTCATCTGCTGGTATAACACACCTTTTTGTCTAACCTAAGATATAATTAATATTAAAATAAATTAAAAAAAAGTAATACAAAGAGTTTTCAATACCTTTGCAAAAAACTGAGAATATTTTTCAGCAGAATCGCATGTTATTGAATTTCCACATAATATATTATATTGTCAATAGTTGTTTGAAGAAACGTTGTAATTTCTAACTTTAATAAGATGCATTTCGCAAGTTTTACTTCCTATATAATATTGAAAAATAAATAAACAATGAATATATGAGGATAAAATGTTTAATTTACCTTAGCTTTCAGTGTTAGAACTTTATTAGGAATCCTACATGGACATATTAATTCTAAATATTCTTATAATTCACTTTATTTTCGGTATAACCAAAAGTAATGCATAAGGTAAAACACGGAAAAGATCAGTCCCAGTTTGAACAAGTTATGACAATAATTAACTTAGTTAAATAAATGTTTTCTGACGCTAAATATAATAAATATATATAATTAGTTTATCAATTGATCATATACATCTAGTTAAAATTTTCGCTTGATTTTAATTTATAACACACTCAGGGCCGACGAGAACTTTTGAGGGCCCCGCAGCCCCCTTTCACTTGCACTTGTTTGACTAACATAGACATACTACTTGTACATATATTAGTTTAATAAAAATATTGTATAAAAGATTAAAAGGTAGCCTGTTTTTTCTGAAAATTTTTTTTCAAAATGAAATTGACGCGTTTGAGCAAGACATAAAGCAGACGGTTCACCGATGATTGAATTGCTGACCGCAAGATGTTGTGATGGTTAACGGTGAATAAATTTGGTCGCCACGACAATGGTGACAGCTACTTCAAAATCACAGCGACTTTTAATGGTGACTAGTCACCATTCACTTTGAGTGATAAATATTTAAGTTACTCAGTCATCATCATCGAGTATTATATTGGCTTAATTAGGGTGATTTCAAATATGGTATTATAGTCACTGATAACAGTCACCACAGTCATAGTCACCAAATAAAAGGAGTACACAAACTGCACACAATAGTACCAATTACTATGTTGCTACATTGAGAGTTCCAAGTCACCAAAACTAGACACCATTTATTTTCAAAATTTTCGCAGTGACTAACAGCGACACTGTTGACAAAGTAACGACGACGTGATTTTACACTCATCACTAGTTACATTTTCAACTCACTTCACATTTGTTCGCTGTATAGTCAGCATTGTACGTTATACCATTTTCATGTGCCGTTTGCAATCGTTCCAAACTACGTTGTTGTGAATTTGTGATTTAATCGTCTGGTAATAATCGTGCAATTTCATTGCTATCATCAATTTATTTTTCCCCTGTATAGGGTTGTCAAAATTACTAGCGATTTGTGTTTAGTGACTCAACGTGTTTTGGTGTACCTCGTTGCTCGTGGGGACAGTAGTGTAAACTTGTGGTCCTTTCCCGGCTGCATTTAGTGTTTCATTGTTGTGAAGTCTTCGTGAACAGTTGTCGGCACACATTCGCACGTACACGGGGTCAATTTGTTTTATTGTAATTTTTTTGATATACTTACAAGCCCTGGTGCGGTAGCGTGGGTGGGTGTAAAACCAGGTGTGTGTCTCAACTTTGATGTGTGTATTGGTCGACCAATGATTAGTGTTTGTACGACCAACGGGTCTTGAGTTATTATTAATATTTAATTTGATAGCCATACAGGCATATTGTTTATTATATATTATTTTAATGGCCATTCAGGCAATTTGTCAATTATATTATCATTGTTATTTCTTATTATTGTATTGCAGCAATGGGTGAAGAAGGTCATTGAAGTTGGTGAAAAGAAAACTGAAGACCATCACCATCAAACTTACAGCAGAGTCGACATTCAGCGCTCACTTTGACATTTCCACTGATAAAATAAATGAAGTTCGTGTACGGCTCGAAAGTCTGCATGATATAGGTGATAGATTCGAATTGTTTCAAATAGAACTTGAGGATCATGTCCCTAATGAACAAAGAATTTCTGAGAGAATAGTGTTCAAAAGACTCTTTTTTAGTGTCAAATAATCGTCAATGAAACTTATGGACGCCAATCAAGAAAACCGTTCATATGGTGGAGTTACTAAATACAAAATAAAGCAAACCAGGATCCGTAAACATGTTACTGAGAGTTGAAATATTCTTTGATATTATAAGACAAGGCAAACATATGGTGTCGGAACTTGCTGCCTTCCAGAAAACTTCTTTCGGTTGGATTTTGGTGGGTAAAATACTTACCTCAACATCTTTGATAATTCTGGTACTCCCAGTCGTAAATCAATGTTCGGCATTATCATTATTCTCATCTACGGTTTCTGCACGATTATGCGAAGAGAAAGAAGCTGTAAAACAGCATTTCACACTAACCACTCATAGAAATGACAGAGGACAGTTTTTGGTTCGACTTCCGCTGAAGAAACATCCCTTGTGCATAGGCAATATAAGCATTATAGCTAGGAAACGATTTCCTTAATCTGGAACGAAAACTTATCAAAGACAAGGTGTTGTCAAATGAGTACGATGATTTTTTGATGGAGTACTCGAATTTAGAGCACATGGAAAAAAAGGGACAATTCAATGAAATGCAAAACAACTCACCATGCGGTCTTCAAAAGCACCAGCACAACCACGAAGCTACGAGTGGTGTTTAACGCATCTGCCATAGGTTCATCAGTAAAGTAATTGAATGACTTGCTCATGAAAAGTCCGGTTGTCCAATTTACATTGTATTGCTATTGTGTTTTCGAGTCCATCAAGTAGCTCTCACAGCAGATATAGAGAAGATGTATCGATAAATACTGGTTCACAATGACTATTGTCAGCTACAAAAAATAGTGTATCGGTCAAAGTCAACTGACGAGCTTCAAGAGTTCATGTTGAAAACAGTAACTTATGGTACAAAAACCGCTCCGTACTTAGGCACCAGGTGCCTGGTACAATTGGGAAACACATGCAATGATCCGGATCTAGCAAGAATCACTCAAAGGAGATTTAGATGAACTTTTGATAGGAGCAGTCACTGATGAACAATGTCATGATATTTTTCAAAAACTCTCCAGTGTGCTCAATAGCGCCCAATTGTCAGGAAATGATGCTCTAATTCTTCAAAACTTTTGTCCGGGTTACCTACCACTACTGATGATAACTAAATAATAACATTGTCAAAATTCGACTTTGTCTCAACAAATAATAATCTCGTGGATTTAATTTCACGAGGTATTGGCGTGCGCACAATTTAGTCTCTAACCTTTGTTGGCATGCACTACCATGGTTAAGTCAAGAATCAACTGCATGGCCAGACTGCCCAGCGTTGCCAACTGAAATACCTCAAGTAAAACCCGTGAAATTTGTATTATCAGTATACTAAGTAGCTTCACCTTGGTTGTTAGAATCATATTCTGATTGGAGGAAGCTACTAAGGATTTTAGCTCTTATTATGTGATTTATCTCAAATTGTTGGATAAAAGCAGATTACAAGGCAAATCGTTGTATCGGTTTCATTATATCAGAGGAATTGCAAGGAGAAAAAAATCACTGGTTGCGACAAGCTCAAGCAGTAACTTTTGCTGAAGAGTACTCTCTGTTAAAAAATCAGAAAACAAGTTTCCCGTCACAGTTGTTTAAAACAATTGAGTCCGTTTATTGATAATGTTGGACTTATTCGTGTTGGAGGTCGTTTGATGAATATTTCTATATCAAACTCCATGAATCATCCCATCATATTACTATCCGCCAACCAAGTCACTCGATTACTATTTAAATATGAATATATCAGACTACTGCATGTGGGACCGTTGGCACTATTAGCGCATGTTAACAATCATTATTGGGTTATAAGGGGTCGGTGCATAGCAAGATCCACTGTAAGACACTGTATTCAATGTTTCAAAATCAGTCCTAGATTTGTATCCACATTTATGGCACTGCTTCCACGTGAAAGAGTGACCGTCGCAAGACCTTTTGCACGGACCGGTGTCGATTATGGCCCGGTTATGGTGCGGAGTGGATTAACGAAAGTTATTTCTCTGAAAAGTTACGTGTATATGTTCGTCTGTTTAGTAACTAGAGCAGTACATCTAGAGTTAGTGTCTTTATTTTCAGCAGAAGATTTCATTAGCACCTTATCCAGGTTTATGGTTCGCCGTGGGAAATTTCGAGAATTGTTCAGCGATAATGGTACCAACTCTGGCGGTGCAGATCGAATCCTGCAAACTCATATTCAGGAATCCAAAAATAGTACCAAAGTACACAACTTCTTAAGCAGCTAAAGCATTGACTGGCATTTTATACCACCTTCTGCCCCTCACTTTGGTGGCATTAGAGAGGTAGCGGTCAAGTCAGCCAAAAAACATTTATTGCTTGTTTCTAAAGGTGTAATGATGACGTTTAATGATATTACTACATTACTATACCGTATAGAAGCAGTGTTGAATTAATGACCATTAACGCCACTGTCAAGCAATCCTTCTGATTTCAATGCTTTGATAGCCGGCCATGTTCTGATTGGTGATCCATTACAGCTCCCCCCTGAACCGGATTATATAGACATGCTACAGAATCATCTGCGTCGATTCAAACTCATGCGAGCACAAGTACAGAGTTTCTGGAAACGTCGGTCTTCTGAGTATTTGCCACAGTGTCTACGACGTGCTAAGTGGACCAAACTCACTCGAAACATTGAAGTAGAAGACTTGGCAATTTTGAAGAATGAAAACTGCTTACCATTGCAATGGGAACTATTTCGTGTTACCAAAGATCATCCTGGCCCTGATGATATCGTGCGAGCTGTCACGTTACGGAATTCTTCTGGATCAGAATTCAAGCGTCCAGCAATCAAGGTGGCTGTTCTTCCCACTGAAAACGATGAAGGCAAAGAAGGACAGAACGTGTCATAAAATATTGTCTTGTATTTCTTCCTTTTTTGTCTTATTTGTAATTGTTATTAAGTATATGTTGTTTTTTGGGTTATTCATATTGTCATATTTAGTCAAAGTTATTTAGTCCAATTATTGTAATTTATGAAAGGCATATCCTTTTCAAAGGGGAGAGTAAGTTGATGTTTAGTTTAGTTTGTTTTGTATCATTGAAATCTTCGTGAACAGTTGTCGACACACATTCGCACGTACGCGGGGTCAATTTGTTTAATTGTAATTTTTTGATATACTTACAAGCCCTGGTGCGGTAGCGTGGGTGGGTGTAAAATCAGGTGTGTGTCTCAACTTTGATGTGAGTATTGGTCGACCAATGATTTGTGTTTGTATGACCAACGGGTCTTGAGTTATTATTAATATTTAATTTGGTAGCCATACAGGCATATTGTTTATTATATATTATTTTAATGGCCATTCAGGCATTTTGTCAATTATATTATCATTGTTATTTCTTATTATTGTATTGCCAAATAGGCATTGATGTTCCTATTTTTGATTACATATTTTATCATGCCTTATAGGCAATTTGATATTTATATTATTGTAATAAAGTAACTGCCACCAACTATCATTATTATATTATTTTATTTGAATGCGCTGAGCTGAGGTAGTGCGTCATCTTATGTTGCCTACCTCAACATCGTGAAGGCTCAACTTATTATTCATTTTATTATTCAATAAGTGCCGACGTGGCAACAAGTATATTACTTCTGCGACGGTGTTTCATAATTTAATTGACGTTGCATGTACATCGTTGTTGGTAACGAAATTTACGTTGAAAAACCTCGTTAATTCCCAGAGTTGGAGAAAGGCAATCGAAGATAAATTGAAGCAATTTCACAAGAATTGTTACAAGATTCAATAAGTAACTTCAGGGAAAATCTTCAAACATGTGTTCAATCGGAAGGGTGCCATTTACGTAATGTTATTTTTGTTATTTAATTTTTTTATAATTATTTTCTTCAAATTCTGAGTTTGTAAAACACATTTTTTTAAAAAAAAGAAAAAATGTTGGTTCAACATGTCAAAAAAATTGTGGGCGTCAAGTCTCAGGGACCACAAAATATTTTAACAAAATTAATTTTAAAAATGATGTACCAAATGAAAAAAAAAATAAAACAATAAAAAAAAGAAAATAGTATGATTTATTATGTTATAATTTGTAAATTACAAAATATTGTATTTTTATTACATTATAATTTGTTTAATTTATTAATTATAAAAGTATTAAACGATTTTCATTTATAAATTATATTTTAATATTAAAGAATCTCGATTATGGACGAAATAATAAGTGTTATATTATTATTATTTGTTTTTTGGGGGAGGGGCATAAATTATATTATATTAAATTTTTAAATACGGGCCTGATAAGTAAGTATAGTATATGCATAAGAATATAAAAACCTTATATGTTTTTACAAGTCTAAACATAATTTCTTTAAAAATGTTATCATTAATTAAAATAGTGAATTTTGTTTTTATATTGGAATGTAAAAGAAAAATCTTATTATGTAGAAGCCTCGCATTGTAGATGCCCAGTCTGGTTCCTTGTACTACTTTGATGCGGTTTTGATGCTTAAAGAAACTTACAAATATACTGCAATTTAAAATTCATTTTTGAGAATTTTTTTTTTGTTTTTGAGTATTTTTCCGGATTAAAAATAATATATTTGTATACAGTGATGGATTGGAGAACTTTTTTAGTCTGATAATATAAATCAAACTGACCCATACATCGCAAATGTAACTTCTCCCATAATTTAAGGTATAACTTCACTTAAATTTAAAAATTTGTTTAATTTCTCCCCTAAATAAGTAAAATATATAATATCTATAATTATAGCTATAACAGTTTGGGTTAGTTAGACAAGGTTAACCTGTCCTAACTTAAAATTGAATTTCGATCTTATTACATTTTTAAATATAAACAGAAAATATCCTTAAATATTTTGTAATCTATTGGCGTTCAATTTAAACTTTCAATTAATGTTCTAATCCTTTTATATGTATTAAATACATTTTACTATTTCTCCAAAATGGTATTCATTATTGGTTCAATACGCAGACTAAGTTTGCAAATGATTGGTTGAGTAACTTTATGTTTAAGTATAACTTTAGCCAGTACTATTGATCGATTTATGCTTATGGCATTCGATAAAATTTATGTTCGTTTATTTTTTTACAAATTAAAAGATATTAAACTTGGAAATAATTTTAATATCAGCTAGATATTTAATATGAATGAATTCGGTATCACTGCAACCTAACTAAACTATCAACAGTTATTTCTTCAACTGGTGCACGTATAGTGGCAAAAATATCACTGTTGTTCTAGGACTAAGTGCTACAGGTGTTTACGTACTACCCTTCCTAATATTTGCACGAAAACGAATGGATAAACCGTTAGTAGAAGGAACCTTTCCTGGTTCAGTTGTTATTGGTAATGTTAATGGTTGGATAACTTTTAAAAGTTTCTTACTTTATGTAGAGCATTTTTGAACGCATGTCAAATCAACTGCTGAAAATCCTATATTATTAATACTAGATGACAACATATCACATGTTTCTCTTCAAGCCATTCGTTTTTATCGTGAACACTGTTGGCTTGTGGGCCTATTACGCTTATATTAATTTAATAATTTGTTATTAGACTAAAGGAGTCGATATAGGCAATCCAAAGTGAGCCACCCGTAGCTGATATAGGCAACGCACGACACGACATGGATGATAGGAAGGAAAGACTTAAAAATTTACGGGACTAAGGAACATGAGTTTAATTATCGGGGGGGGGGGGGGTCTCTGTGGTCGAATCGGTTTGGTGCAATGACCACAGAGCTCACACATAAATCGGACGAATACTAAAATTAAACACTCAGGCCACACTTAAATCTAACTTACAACGATGACTTGACTAGACAGATGACGGTAACGATGGTGATTGAGATTATGAGCTACTTGAACGGCCTTAGACACACTCTCCGAGTACTGGCGGGCTTACGTGGAAGACACCGGACGCATCATGGATTGACTGTAATTAAAAATAACGCAACCGGAAAAACTCACTTGAAGCACGAAGATGACAGCAAAGACACTCAAAAAAATACAGTATTTTATTCACAATACACGTATTGGTAGAGGAAGAAATAATCGGTAACTAAATTTGTTGGTAAATGGATTGACTTTATTCAGTTGAATAGAAAAAGATATAAGTGCCACAATGGCGAGAATAATAATAATCAATGCAAAATAAATAATAATAAATGTATAGAAACAAAATGTTCAAAAATGTGCTTTACTAGCAATATAAAAACGAGCAAATGACAAAAATAATAATTAAGAAAGTTGCCCCAATGGCTATAAAAAACAATACAATTAATATAATAAAAATTAATTCTGATATGTAATAATAATTTAATTTCAAAAAGAACCAAGAAAAACGTGAACTGTTCGTAATCGTAATAATAATAATAATAAGGGCGTTGGCCGTATAATCACATTAAAAATAATTAAAACCATATGATATTAACATAATCCGATAACACAAAACGATAACAATAATAATAATTCAATTTACCTAAACTTAATATTATAATACACGAACTTAATGACGAAAAAAGGAAGAAAATGGGAAACAGATAACGACGAGTCACCGCCGACGTGTTGTTCTTCAACCACATGTTATTAATACCACTTTACGGCGGCAACAAACACAATAATATTAAACTTGGATTTCCTTCCCACACCGCTCATAGATTATAACTAAAGACCGGATTTTGCATAAAATGCATGTTGTTATTTTCATCATTATATATATATGTAATCAATGATTGTTCACAAATCTTTACTTGATTGATTAAATATCAAAATTTTATACGGCATATTTTAGCATGTTCTGACGTTAGAGCATGTTCTGCATATTTTTGCATATTTTAAGAAAAAATCGTAAAAGTATATACCTAACAAACCAAAAAGGTGTTGAGTAAAAAAAATTGATTATATGTATTGTTACTAAACTTCCATTGGTTGTATGAGTTTTATAGTGAAGACGTGGCTTTACCTATTTTATTTAATCTTGTTGATAAAATACCCAAAACAACATATATAGGTATATTATTATAACCACTGCTACATTTATACAATTGTTGGTAAGAAATACGTTGTAGCCAAGTTAAACCATGAGCGTTCCCATATGGGTACACAAGTATTGCTTTTTTTAAATGCGTTTGGAGAAATTTATATTACTATTGTTCATGTATTATTATTATTATTACATGTGTTTGTATATTATCTTCTTTTCATTTTGATATAATATTTAGCAGTTAATTCATAAACAGTGTCTATTGAAGATATATTATTTCCACCAAAATGTTAAAATAAGTAATTTTTTTTATTTTTCTGGTACTCGACTATAGCTCGTCAGTATAAAATAATATTATTTATAAATTTTGTAAATGAGTGATCAAATATTTAAATCTTATATGTTCTTACAAACATTTATTTGAATATTTTTTTTTCAATTTGTTATTTCTATAATTTTTATAATTTAACAAATTACCTTTTCATATTGCATATTTGCATCTCACTTTTTGCTTTTGAAAATTTTAATAAAATAAAGAAATAATTATCATTGCAAAATTAAAATCAAATATAAAATTTAATAAAAATTGAAATTTTGCTCGTTTTACTTTTTTATCTTGCATATTTTAACTTCTTTTAGTGGATTTTCGCATGCATATTTTATAATTTAAAATGGATATAAATTTGGTCTTTAATTATAACCAGTAGACGTTACAGTTTTTGGGCCCTCTAAAAATGGATCAAAGTCAAATTTGTGACACGTTTATGGTATATAACCCGGGACGTCAGTCCCGTATTTAAGAATTTGGCGCCCCCGGGCATATAATTTATGCCCCCCTTCCAAAAATAAATAATAATAATATAACACTTATTATTTCTTCCATAATCGAGATTCTTTAGTATTAAAAAATAATTTACAAATGAAAATCGGTTACTACTTTTTTTAACTAACAAATTATATAAATTATAACATAATAAAACATTCTATTTTCTTTTTTTTATTGTTTTATTTTTTTTCATTAGGTACATCATTTTTAAAATTAATTTTGCTAAAATAATTTGTCGCCCCTGAGACGACGTCCCCGGGCATGTGTGTACTCGTGCCCCTCCTTAATACGGGCCTACGGGACGTATTACAAATGATCAAGGTATTGGAAAACTATTTAACGAAGCACATAATCGAGCTATTATAGTAGGAAATACCATAAAAGGTTTTAGTGCTTATGAAATACAACCTTTTAATCCAAATGTTTTTTTGGATTATGATTTTGCCTTTGCGAAAGTCATAGAAAGACCATTTGAAAATATTAAAAAATATTTGCAAAACAATACAATTCAAGTAACATAAATAGTACCAATATATTAAGAGCTTACACTTGGACCAAGTTGGAAAAATAAACGTATTCTTGAAATTCCAGTTAAATTACCAGCTTTTCCTGTGGCAATAATACCGGTTTACAAACGTCGACCTAGGGCCAAAATTCCAAGTTTAAAGATAATCAGTCAAATCCATGTTAGAAATGAAAGAGCAATAAAAAAAACCACAAATTAACAAAATAACGTCTAGAGAAAAGAAAGCTAAACCAGCTATTAAAATAAAATAATATTAAGAATAAAAAATGGTGTGGTAAGAATGAAAAACGTAAATTAATTCTAAAAAATCGGAAGATGAAGAAGTTTCGTATGCAGATACTGATAATGAAGATTCAGGTAATGATAAAGAATGTATTTTTTGTTAAGAGCATTACAGTAATAATGTAAAAGGTGAAGCTTGGATAATATGTGTCAAATGTGCGAGATGGGCTCACAAACTGTGCGCAGGCGTCGAATGTTAGGAAGCATTTACATACATGCAAGTTTCACAGAAAATATTTGTAAATTGAATTTTATATGATTGTATTATTTTATTTGATTTTTCGTTTGTAGTTTACCTACCAAACCATGTTATAAAAATAATTATGTTACTAAGTAATTTTCAAAGACTAAAGGTTAAAATGCATTAATTTTATTCAATCTTAATTTTGTTAATTCAATTTCTAACTCCATTGATTTTAATACAGGTATAGGTACTTAATTTGTATAAGTCATTGAACTCAGTTGATAAACTATTTTTATTTTTTAAATAGATGCTCTGGATTTTATGAAAAATGTATTTACTCATCAATTTATAGTATAAATTGCACACATTGACTTAACCCTGAAAATTTTCACCTTAAAATACCAGCAAAATCACGAATTCCGAATTAATTTTATATGTACTTATTTTAACTTAGGTATTTAAAAAAATAACTAAGTTTAATTTTTATTTAATAACAGTCTTGAAAAATTACTCTACTTATGTTTGTATAATTTACGTTTTTATCATGAGGTGTGATACTTGGGAACTTAAATTTGTCAACTTACCCAGATCCCCTCTACCAAAATAATACCTTTATATTTAAAAGTATTTTTTTATATTTTTATTTTTTAATATATTATGCCTTTTTTTTTTTATAAATTTTTCTTTTGGAATTATATAATAAGTATAGCGACTCTTACAAGAACCGACCCATTGGGAAGGTCCTCGATTTCTCGATAGGTCAACTCGCCCCTGTTTGTACATAATTTTTTAAAATCGTAAGCAGACATGAAAGTTGGGTAATTTACTGACCATAATAATATCGGACTATGATTTTTACATCCTGGTGTGCACAATATTTATCAATTCAGTTTATTATGCATATAGAGTAATTTGACTAATAAAGCAGATTTATTGTTTTGAATCTGTTAAAAACTTTTTTTTTTTTAAATCTTTAAAGTTTTTTAAAATTGAAACAGTGTTGTAATGATTTTGAAATAATATGTGTAATACTTTCAGGCATAGAGCTTAAAATATTAAAAAGTTCAAAAGTTTAAAATATAATTAATGTATTTGTAAGCAAGGCCGTATCTGGGGGGGGGGGTCCAGGGTGTCTGAACCCCCCAAATTTCTTCAATATTTTACAAATGTTTAAAATAATTATTTATTTTTAAAACCAACATAAAAATATCAGTCACAAATGACTTAAGCTCCAATTAATCATTGACTGTTTTTAGTTTTATATCATAATATCATAAGAAAATATATTTCATATTTGTATAGTGTAAGGTGACAAGATGTCAAAGTAATTTTGTTTATTTGATTTTATTATATTTTAATAAAAGAAGATTAAATCTTTTTCTGTCTTATTTTAAATCAAATATCAATAATTAAAATCTAAATTCAATAAAATTACAATATACATGTTTTGGATCCCCCCCCCCCAAAAAAAATTTCTAGATACGGCCTTGTTTGTAAGTGTCAATACGCTATTTACATTTTATAAAAAAATCGTTTTCGTATTCGTTACTACATATTGAAACGGAAACGAAATAAACAAATATTACTGAAATTATTTTACAATTGGTTATACTGCATTACTAAATCTATATTATCAATTCGTTATCATAGTATTGTATATTGTTCAAAAGTCGTATGCTTTATACTATTATTTGTACACTCGGGCTTGTCAATATTTCCAATTAGGTACTTAATTGTCCACGAATCATGTGTTAAGTGTCTCAGACCGTGTTTTAACTATTTCGGGAGTAATAAACCTGAACTAATTAAAAACAAAAAAAAAACTAGCAGTTTATTTCTTTAGTCAAGTACAATTTATCATAATCAATTTTATTTTACTGGTGTTGATGATTTCTTACACACTAAATGACTGACATTTTAAAAGGTAAAGAATAAGCGTTTTTTTTTCAAGTGGGCACATAAGTATAAAGTTCAACATAATTTACTTTTTCAATGTTTGTAATACACAACCCGTGTAGGTTATAAATTATTTGATAAAAACAATAGTTTTTACAGTGATATGTTTTTTTTTTTTTAAAAAATTTAGGAATTGATAAATTTTCCTTTAAAACAATTATTTAATCGGTTTGTTTATCGAGTAAATTAATTGTGTTTCAATATATTTTTAATGATGCTAAATGTCAGTTAATTATATTATTTTATACTTAATATATTTAATTCAAATCTTCTTAAATTATTTCCACCATACAACTTTTTAATTTACTTTTCCATGTAATAACTAAAAAAATATTAGAAATATGATTAATTAATAATAATAATCAAATAAATAACGAATAAAATAGTTAGAATACCTACCTAGCAAAAGATTTATTATGGAAAAGAACTCCTAAATTGTTCTACTTATACTCGTGTTCTGGAGTTTCTTATGTGAAATGTCTAATCAAGGTTTTTTTCATTGTGTCATTATATTCATTCTTTCATCATTTACTTTTTGTACCACCTAAATAGATCGCGAATTTTCATTATTATAAAATCAAATTTTTTAAAAAAAAATTGATCTATTTTGATTTAACTTGTATAGGTAGTTATACAGCATAAATCACTGTTCAAAATGTATGTAATTATAAAATATAATCATGATTGAGTAAAAGTATTTATTCAATATTATTTAATGTAAAATACTAATTGTAATAAATATATTTGAGTTATAATATTATTTGATAAAGTGGTTTACACCAAAGCGTCATTACAATTTTTGAAAGGGAGGAGGTAAATGTTTTGACCGACTCATAATATAACTATAAAAAAAACCGCTCTCTAACAATTACATTAATAAAATACTCACTGAAAATAGAAGAATAATTCTTAATATAATATAAAGAGTTAAATAATTCGAAAAGTTAATTTCTAGAGGGCTTGCGGCTTGCTTTACACTATATTGAAAGCAAAACCAATCCACTTAATTTAATTATTTACCAACCTAAAAAAATATTTTTGTGTTTATTTTATTATAGGTATAAGTAGTTAAAATATAATAATAACTAATATTTTTTAATTCATTAAATTTGTCTCCGAGACTGCCTGCCCTGATATTTATTTAATAATAGGATATTTAAAGGTGAATAAATTATTTTATATTTTGATGATAATATTTTATAGTTTACATTATATTATGTAATTCAAACTATTATAAATTACTTAAATTACCAATTCATTATACATTGGTACAAGTAAATGTATTCAATTACATATTTTAGATATTACTAAATATTATTAATAATATATTTTTATACTTTTGAGTTGTTGGATAACATTGCATTTTAAATAATTTTAGTACATTATTAAATATATAAAATTAATTTAATAATATGTTTAATTAAAATTATTGACTATATAGAAATTACTTTATCATCATGATATTTACACTAAATATTGACTAAATTAACTATAAAATAAATAAAAAAAATTTATTATAATAATAAAACTTAGAAAAATTATTCAATTTTATAATAATATTAATAAAATTATTAAAGTAACACTACGAATACATATATTACTGTCACATAAATGACTAATTGTTATTTACTGTAAACAGTTGGTTTTACTCAATATTGTATTCAATATGGTATGTATTCAATATTGTATTCTGGTTAGATCAAGCACCTATTGGGCCCAGGGGCTGAAATTTTATATGGGTCCTTTTGACAAAACATGCTTTACAAAGCTACTAGCTACGCTGCAGAACGATACATTTTTTAACTGTTTCACAAATTGTCAATTGCATTATAATAATTATAAAATTAATAGTTATATAAATTGTATGTTTATAAAACTACTAATTTTAGTATGATCAAAATGTGTATCGGCTTATAGTTGGGTACTCGAGAGGGCCCCGGGGCTATCGCCCCGGCTAGACCCTCCCTTAATCCGACCTTAATTGTATTTTAAATTAATTATATTTATTTTCAGATTTGTGTGATATTTGGGAAAGGCTATTTAGCCACCGTCCATTCTTACAAGGGGAAATAAAATACTTTTTATCTGAATTTGATGTAAGTTTAATGTAACTATTGAGTTATTTATTGTGATTGTATATTTTAAATGATTAGTAAAATTAATTTTAGAAGAAACAATATAGAGCTGATGAAGAAAATCTTAAGAAAATTGGTGAACTAATAGATGATTTAAAAGAAAATAAAATTGAAAGATTTCTTGAATCAAGTGGTGAAAATTTATCGTCATTGAATTCAACTATTAATGAAGCATTGAATTTGAGCCAAGAGATTTTAGACCAAGAAAATAATATTATTTCAGTGAGTAATAATTTTAAATAGAGCCACGTTCTAATTCTGTAAATACATACAAAACTGCATGAACTAACCTAACCATAAACCTAGACCTTATAAAATTTTTTAAAAAATAATTATATTAGTTTTTGATTTTTCTAATTGTTTTTCTAGTATACTTACTTAAAATTCAATTTATAATTTTCTTACTTGTATATTTAAAGTTAAGATTAAATGTTGTACAATTTCAAATTATGGTGACTAGTAGTTGTAGTTACAAACTATATGTATAAAGATGTAATTTTCCCCAGGTGAAATGGTTAAAAATGACCTTAATACAAACATTGTGATTGACGCCAATTGGCTTCATTATTCTTAAATGATTTTCTTACTATTTTTTTAATCAGCATTTCTTAACATTATTTAAATGTAGTCTGCAATAATATTAGATCTATTGCAATAAATATAAAAATAAAGATTCAATATTTTCAGTTTAAGACATCTCTATGACCTTTATATGTTTTTAAAAAAGTAGTATGTAGTAAACCTGTTGAGAGCTAGAAAATTAATGTTCAGCATAAAAAAAATATAGTACAATAAAATTTGACTTAAATTAGTTTATTATTATAACAAATAAAAAATAAGTTAAACTATTAAATATCTGTACAAGTTTAAATTATTTGTTTAATTCTTCAAAATTCAAGTCTTAATTATTATGTTTTTATAATGTTTGATTTTAACATTTTCAGGAAGAAGAATTAAAAACTAAAGAAGAATTACATGAAAAACGCCAAAAAGAACTGGAAACATTTAAATCTGATTTAAAAATTAGATATGAAAGTATAGATAAAGATATTGAAGATAAATTGGAGGCAATTAAAGTAAATTACGAAGAAGCTATTAATAAACTTATTGCCGATAATCAGTAACATTATGGATTATAGAATTAAAATTAAAACAGATCAACAAATTTTGAATTTGTATAAGAAAATTAAACAATCAAAAGTTGATATACCTACACATGTGAATGAATGTTTTGGTGAAAAATTATTAGATCTAGAAGCTTTTAAGTGGTTTAATGAAAATTTGAAAAAAATTGATGGTCCTCCTTTACACACGTTAATCACTGGAGATAATATAGTTTTACCTAGTCCGCCAATTGTTGAGCCCAGTCCAGAATACAAAGAAAAACTTAGAAAGTTGGAGCAACGTTTAAAGAATAAAGAATATGATGCTATGACAAAAAATGTAGATTTTAGAAGAGTTAGACTACCTGAAGATACTATTTCTTACCAAAGTAATTACATTTTTATTTAAAATGGATCTAAAGTTTATCCTTTCAATGCTTTTATTAATTGTTTAAATTATGACAGATAATAATGAATTAATAAAATATAATTATAAATACTAATTATGGTAATGATATAAACAATTCATAAATTATTATATTAGATGTTTTAATTTAAATAATTTTTATGTAGTTAGTATTCATATGTAATGCGTGCTATCAAATCAATTTAACTGAAATTAATTGCTTTGCAAACAATTTTTTGAACATATATTTTTTTATGATTTGATCATTATTTGGAATATTGTTTTTGTGGCAGTGTAACGATTTTAGAGATATGTTAGATTTGACAATTTTTTTTTTGTATGGTAACTAATCTAACTTAAGATATACGTGGTTTGATATATAATTGTTTGTTTAATTGATGCATTTATTTTCATTATTGAGACAAAATCACTATTTTATATGTATTCATTTATTGACCTTATGCTTAATAGTGGTGAATATTTTTCTATCAATGACTAAATAATATTTGTTTTGACCAAATTCTATAGATGTAAATTATATTAATTATATTATATAAATTATAGTTATACAATAACTTATGATTTTATTAAAATTCCTAAAACCAGTTTATGGTTTTGCAAAACTTCTGTTGTTATGTTGCATAACAAATTATATCTATTCTAAGCTATTAATGTACATTAATTAAATAAATTAACCGTTTATAATTACAATAATTGTTTTTATCTGACACTTATAGCACAAATTAAGTATGTTAAGTAGGTTCATTATTTTAAAAGATAGCCATAACACGAGTCATTGTTCTTATTCTAATCTTAAAACCAGATAATATTACTACAGAATAAATGTTATCACTTTTAAAATTATAAGAAACTAGGGCTCCATAAATATGATGACTAAATCTCAATTATATCTACAAGTAACCATTCTGATTTCATAATTCTATGACATTATTGTCTTAACATTTATTTAATCTCTTATCATAATTTTTTCTACCAATATATTTTTGTTTTCTCTTAATATTTAATGTTATTAAAGTAATGCTTTCAATATTTTTAACATTTAATATTAAATTTGGTCTTAGAAGTATTTAGATTAAAAATATTGAATGGAATTCTTTAGTACCATATTATATTATAAGAATAATTAATTTCAATTATAGATTCTTGTATTATAAATCTGTGATGAATAAATCATGTAATACAATAAACAAATAAATATTTTTTATATTTTCAGTTAAACAGATCAATAGACAACTGATAGCTGTTCTCCAATTTGTAATTTCAACTGCAGCTGGATTTTTATTTGGATTTATGGGTATTGAGTTGATGTTGAGTACAACCTTTGATTTGGGTTTCAAATTATTATTGGGAATTATATGTGCCTTAATCATTGCATTAGCTGAAATTTACTTTTTGGCCAAGAAGTTATCTGAAGACTATGAACCACTAGAAACTTGTGGCAAAGTTCATCAAGATTAGTTTTGTTAATTTGAAATAACAAATGATATAAGTGTTCCCATTTATCTAATATTAATATTATTCCAAGTAATGAATTAGAACATAATAAATTTAAATATTTTTTTAATGACAAATGTGTTACGTTTTTTTTTTATATAATGTTTCAAAACAAAAACAACTTAATCTATTAAAAGAAACAGTTGTTGTATTGATCAAGTAATTACATAAATAAATGTTCTGTATATTTAAATTAGTATTTTACAAATTTTAGAAAAGTGCATAGTTTAAGGTATTTACACATATTTATTATGTTATAATGATGATTTACTGACTGATTTGAATTAATATTATATAAATTTTATAATTGACGTTCTTTTCATATGTTAATATTAATTTTTTTCATATGGTATTCTTTCTTTTAATGTTTAAAATAAAAATGTAATCGGTAAATAAAGCCAGAATTATTTTGAAATTTGGTATTAATTAAAATTGATTTAAAAATATTGGAAAATTGATATTATGGAAACATATTTTGTATTTTAAACATAATCTTATTGATGTTGATTACTTAAAATATATTTTAAGATATATGTATGTCAAAAAAAAAAAAAAATAATTATTATTATTTATTAAATTTTGTTATATTAATTTTTTTTTTATCTATGTTTAGGTAGACAAATTTTATCTGTTTGAATATTTTTATATTTAGAACTGGATTAAGGGAAGTAAGGTCTTGGCTGGAACTGCTGTTGCAAGGGAGCCCACGATGCCATTATGAGGATTTTTATCCCAGTATAAAACTATATTTTATTTATAACGCTTAAAATGTAAACAACATAAACAAGTAATGTAACAATGTAAACAAGTTCTACACTGAATCTTGACAGTGGTACCTGTTGCTGGTAACTTAACAATAATTTATTATTTATACCTATTATTGTTTAATATAAATACTATAACTGATTTAAGATTTTATAGTAAATTGTTATAAATTATTTTTTATTGCTAGATCAAGAGTTTCTTGATTTTATCAATGGGTGATATCATCAACAAAAAATACCTTGCTACTGTACGATTTGTTATCGCTTTAGTTCTTTTATTTGAAGATAATGAAACTTTCAAGCTATTACTTGTTATAAACCATCTTGTGTTTATGTATTATGTAAGCATTTACATCAATGATTTGAATTTTTTACTTAGTAATTAATTCATATGATTAAGTTTTTTTGTCAAAGTATTTATTGAAATATGAGGATAATGTGAAATGTTTTTGTATTGAATTTTTGATGATAATTTACATTATTTATAGCAAATTGTTCCTCGCATTAAAATAGTGTTTTATTTATAAATATTTATTGGGTGTTGGGATGAAGAATAATTGTTTTCCAAAATTAAATTTATAATACACATGAACTTTGATGAATTAAAATTAACCAGTGCCGTAGCAACCAAACATTGTGCCCGGGGCGAAACTTTATAATGCGCCCTTATGTATTTTTTATTTACAAATATTATGCTTATTAGATGTTCTTTGTCAATGATTGATTTAATTAATACGAAACATGTTAAAGATTTGGTAAACAAAATATACGACATTGACCGTTGTAATTTTTAACATTAAATGCAAGATTTTCATTTTTGCGCTCTTCCAGGAATTGCGCCCGTGGCGTAGGCACCTCTCGCCACCCCCTTGGTACGGCCGTGAAATTGACTGTCAGGTCTTGTTGTTTTTTTAAATATTTTAAGTGACATATTTTGATCATTCAATTTTTAAAAAGTAGTTGAATTATTTGATTTCTTGAAGAGTAAGCCTGTTATTATATAATTATTAATTACCAAAATAAACATTATATTAATTTATAGTATACTTATAAGTATAGTATACATGCTAAATATATTACCTGTTTTATGTTTATTTTAATTGTAAATTAATCTAAGCATATTTTATTAATTGCGAAATTTGAATATAACTAACCTCACATTTAAATGAAATATCATACTGCTGTAAATTATAATATTATATACCTACAATTTAATGTAGGTACTTTTACAAATTTTCGTCCCCAATAAAAAAAAATGGGATTATTCATATTACTTAAATTGATTGAGGGTTCCAGGCCTAAGTCTGGCACTATTACAGTATATTTGTCACATACATTTTATAATAATTATTAATGTGACGAGGATTGTTTTTGTCAACAGTGTTAAGTTTTGTGGACAAATCATTGGTGTTTTTCTGTGTTCATTTTAATGAGAATAGAACATAAAAAATTATTGAAAATATTGACCTGTAATAGTATAAGTAATTTTAAAATAATTTACTATTATTTCACAGGTATTATATATAGCATTGATAATAAATCAAGATGTTTTACTAATGTACTATATTATGTTTATTTAAATTTACATGTATAAATAATAAAATAATTTTTGCGTTTAACAGTGGTTCTTAATATTAATGTCCAATAACACCAAATTATTATTTATTAATTTATATATTTTATACATAAACATAGTAAATTATTAACTGTTTATTTCTTACTCTTTGGTAATGATAATTATAAATTACAATTTTCTATTGTGATTGGTGATCTGTACTTTACATACAAAATAACTAGAATAAGGAAGTTACAGGATTTGCATATTATTTTTCTTTTATTTTATATTTATAACTAACTAAGCTACTTATTAATTACGAGTTGATATGATTACAGCTTTATTTTTTTATTCCATGAGATTTTTATTTTTAAGTCGCAAATATTAATTTTATAATTAAAGTACATCTTAACAGATTTTTTATGCATATTTTGTAAATGCTAGTATAACGTATCTCTTATTAACTTTACTGCTATGATTGCGCATCTAAAATGTGTTTTATTTCAGTTATTGATTGACCATTTTTTATTTATGTTTGTGATTTCTAAAGTTTAAAGAGTGACGAAGTGTATTTCAATACCAAACAACCAACAGTGTAAACAATATTAAACTTTTGGACCAACAAACGAAATAAGATTCGGACTTAACAGTACAAACAGTCAAGTATAGAAACAACAGATGCATGTACGTCAGCGTCAGTGTAAATACGGTAATTAATTAATTCATTAAAAATACATGAATAAATATGCGGGCACATTATTAATAACTATAACAACCATCGTTAACTTTGTAATCATTAACTCAGGAATGTAGGTGCTAATGTTGAATTCAACCTAATGTATCTCGTGAAATAGCGAGACAATTTTGAACTACCTATTTGTAAGCACATGTATCTCTTTTCTATGCTTGTTCTTCTGGTAAGTTAGGTCATGTTGCTGTATAGTCGAGTAGATGGACGTCAAATATGATCGATCCTTTATCACATTCCGAACCACGCGTCGGACATACCGAAAACTTCCCTAATACCTAATGACATGTACCGACTAACTCTACATCGTACTTAAACCAGTACATTATTCGACTCAAAACTCTCATATGTGTGGTAATTGGTACAATAGTTGCAATAACAACTTTTCTTAAATATTATTAACTTGAAATGTTCGAATTTTTTTCGATGTATTTTTAACAGTTCACAAAATATAGGGAAAAGTGCCCTAAAATTGTCCGGTATACTTGATAACTTTCATCTTGTATACTTTGTAGTCTCATCTATATAATAGAAGGCGTACTTACTTATACCGACTTAACTAATTTATAACTAAACATAGCCAAGAATGATAAGAATGCAGTAATTCTTTTAATATCTAATCATTTATCTCACACTACAAATTTTAACTGCTTAGTTATAGGTTTAGTTTTTATTAATTCTCTTAAAACAAATTATTTGTCTATATGATTCTAATGAACTATTCAGTTGTAAAAACCATTTTATAAAGAGTTTAAGTCAAAATACAGTTGTGCACATAAGTGCATGAGAAGTAAACTTGTGGCTACATGGCATACTCTAACAAGTGACATGCATTCAGACATTTTTTTTTTTCTTTTGACATGTAATTCAGATGCAGCCCTACACCACAGCCTCTTTGAAATGATCATAGTCAGACAAAATAATTTTGGTTAATATTGGCGTCCAACAGGATAGTCAATTTACTCAGGCCCGTATTTAGGGGGGGGGGCACGGGTAAGCACATGCCCGAGGGCGTCAAATCTCAGGGGTGGCAAAATATTTTAGCAAAATTAATTTTAAAAATTATGTATTATGTATATTATTTAAAAAAAAAAAAAAGAATAAAAAAAAATAGTATGTTTTATTATATTACGATTTGTAAATTAAAAAAAAAGGATTTTGTATGTTTTATTATGTTATAATTTGTTTAATTTGTTAATTAAAAAAAATTATTAAACGATTTTCATTTATAAGTTTTATTTTAATATTAAAGAATCTCGATTATGGACGAAATAATAAGTGTTATATTATTATAATTTTTTTTTTTGGGTGGGGAGGCATAACTTATTTGGCGCCAAATTTTTAAATACGGGCTATTAATAAATTGCTAGAAAAATAATTTCATCAGCCAATGACAGTTCAACGGCGACGACCAACAGTGGAATATTAGAGGAATCTGTTTTTATCGTGTACATTACCCAGGTCTTTAAAACCAATGTTTGGATATCAAGTGTTACCGCTGTGAGTTAAACATATTAAATACTTTTCAATATTTTTTCAACCTCCGACAACCATTGGGTGTAATGGTTATTGTAATGTATCGAGTAATGTACCTATCTGCATACCTTATGATATTCGACGGGGCCAAATTAAAACTGAAAAATATACATTTTAGTTCATGATGTAAATACTGATGCTGGGCCGTGGAGAGAAAATAATGATAAAAAAAATTACTTCTATCTGTTACAACATTTCTGCTAATTTTTACATATTTTTGGGTTTTAGTGCTATTTTAACAATTAGATATTCCAGTGTTATTATTAAATATTTGTTCATATATGAACGGATATACACTCATTTCATTAAATTATTTTTTTAATTTTTAATTCGTTCAACTGGAATGTCTAAAATAATAATTTTAACTATTGGATGAATCCGTGTGGATTTCGTTTTTCTTCATAACGTTAGTTGAATTGAGCGGTTTCCGCATACGAAATTCTGCTCTCAAACAACTGTAGATCATTCAAATTAAAAAACTTAAATAAATATCTGTTACACTCGTAACTCAGTTTCATTATCAAGGTAAGTAAAAAAATTCAAATTGAAGTGATGCGCACATTATTGTTAAACAATAATCCTTTAACCGTTTTATATTATTATGTAAGAAATAAATATGTTCCTGCCGTACTTAGTACATATTTGCCGCTTGTTTACCTTATAATTATTAACATAAGATATAAGATTTATAAATCTTTAAACTATAAAAGTATTAAAAAATTAAATTAAAATATCTTTTTTGAAAATTGTATTTTAACTTGATTTTTAGTACACATATATTTCACATGTTTTGATATTTTTGTCTACATTGAAATGTTAGTAAGTAAAATTAACTTTTTATAATTTCTTAGCACTAAATTATTACTTATAACACTTTCAGCTGTTTTTTGAATGGCTATATTTTATTTTTATTTAAGAACTAAACATCCAATACATATCAATATAATTGTCTTTCACTTATAGATACTCTCAATGTATATATATGTTCAAACTTTCACACTCCATTTTCCATACAAATATAATATACTATAAGTACTAAGACCAATTAAAAATAGTTTATTCGTTATCAATCTGGATACTTTAAAATATAATAATAATAATAATAATAATAATAATTTATTTACACAAAAACAAATTAACGTAATTCGTACACCTACATTAAAAACAATTTACATTATATAATTTAACATTAGTTACAGATCATTAAAAATAAATATATTTATAGTAGACAAAAAAAAAAAAAAAAACAATAAATAAAATAAAGTATTAAATATTTAAGAAAAATGTACATTTATAAAATGTTTTTTCGGACCTCTAAAAAAATAAAAGGATTTTAAATATAGTACGACGTTTTAATTCGTTTCGATTATGTTTTATAAAAGATCATTATAAAAAAAATATGTTGTTATAACCTGGCGATAGAATTATTAAAAAAAAAAAAATCAATGAATATATAAAACATGCTGGACGACTTACATATAGGGCATGATTTAAGATCTAAAATGTATTATTATTAATGTTGTTAAATGTATTGTTTAGATAATTTATGATTAAACTTATTATCATGTACCGTGTGTGGTACAGGGTGCGCGAATGAACGAATCGAGCGGTCACGACGTCGTGGGAGGTGAGGGCGAACGGTGTGGACACGTGTACACTTCCGGTGCGGTTCCGCGTGCATCAAGGGTTCGTAGGTTCGCGGCGGTGGTCCCTTCGGAACAATACGATCTCGATACGGGGGTTAAATTTTTTTTTATTTTCGTGAACAATTCAGCGACGACATACGATTGTGATACATTTTATATTTGGTTTTCGCGCGCCGCCGCCTCTTCACGTCCCGTCCGGTTCAGTGCACGTTGTCGATGGTCACCGGCCTGGACGCCTTCGGGGTCTCGCCCAGTTTCACGATGACCCTGGTAGGAACGTTGGTCGCGGCCGCGTCGCCGTTGGCTTTCATCGCATCCACAACCGCCGACGGTGACGGTTGGACGTCATCCGAATCGTCCGAGTCGTCCGTGTCGTCGCCGCGGTCCTCCAGCAGGTTCTCCTCCGCCGAGCTGGACGGCGTGGTTAGCTCATCCCGGTCGTCATCATCGCGATTGCGCGAGTCCTCTGTGTCCGCGGCAATGTACTTGATCTCCTTCAGTTCGACCGTTTTGCCGTCCGCCTCCGCGGTCCTTCGGCTCCGCGACTTGCCCGCGCACACCGCCTTGTACACGATCGCCATGATCAACACGGCCAGTATCACTGCCGTGCCCGTTACCGCCACGTTCGACCGCAAGTAGTCCACCGCCGCGACCAGGCTGTGCTGCTCCTGGACCTCGTCTTTCGGCAACAGTATCGGGTTCGACACGATATCGTGGTCCACCGCGACGGTCGTCGTCGTCGTCGTCGTCGTGGTCCCACCGTCGTGGTCCACCGCCGAGTCGGGTCTCGCCGAAACCTTTACGGAAATCACTTCGTCCACCGGAACCACTGGCACGGTGCTGGTCTCGTCCGTCGTTTCTTCCGACCCGGTTGTCACCGACGTCTCCGCCTCGGAAGTACTTTCCCCTGAAGTAGGATCCCCGGAAACTGTTTCGTCGGTAGTCGTTTCTTCGGAAGCAGTTTCCCCGGGAATGGCTTCCTCGGAAGTTGTCTCCTCAGAAGTCGTGTCCGGCCGCTGCGACGACGTATTTTCCACGGAACCATTCGACTCGTTTTCCGCACCGGCGACGTCCGACGGCGTCGAAAACACCGGGGGGGCACCGTCACCGCTACCTGACCCTGAACCACCGTCCACGCGATCGTCTCCCGCCGACATCATACCGTCGTCCACCTCGAGCAGATCGTCCGACTTGTAAATGGCTTTCGGGTCGTCTCCCAGCATATCCTTGTCGTCCGCCGAACACACCTCGGCCATGTCGTCCAGCGGCAAGCCCGTGTTCGCGCACGTAACCGTGTTGCCGAACGCCACCCCGCGGGCCGTCAGTTTCCTGTCCACGTCGGACAGCTCGCACGTGCAGTTGATCGGGTTGCCGGTGAGGTCGACGGTGCGCAACCTTTTGTACGCCTCCAGGTCGTCGTCTACGTGGCCGATGCGGTTGTTGGCCAGGTCCACGTACTTGATGCCGGGCGGCGCGAATTGCGAGCCCAGCGCCTTGAGCCGGTTGTTAGCGGCGAACAGGTACTTGAGGTTCGGCAGTCCGCTGAAGTAGACGCTCTTCAGCGCGGTCAGGCCGCATGCGGACACGTCTAGCTCGGTAATGGAGTCGGACACCAGGAACGACGGGGACACCGTCAGCCCGGGGTTTCCGCGCAGCGACAGGAACGCCAGTTTCCGGTTGCCCGCGAACGCGCGCCGGTCCAGCTTCTTGACGCCGGTGCGGGCAAGGTTGAGCTCCACCAGTTCCGGTAGCCCGTCGAACGCCAAGGCGGCCACGTGCTGCACCGCGCGCCCGGACACGTCCAGATAGGTGAGCCGCGGGAAGTGGCCGAACGCCTTGTCCCTCAGCACCATCGGCGCCGCGACGGCCGCGCGATCGCCGGCCAACTGCAACCGGAGGATCTTCTGCGGCCACGCGGTCGCCGCGCGCACCGGCAGCTCCGTGCAGTTGGCCGCCTGTATGCCGTTGACGTCGGCGAAACATTTGCACGGGCGCGGGCACGGTGCGGCCGATGCGCTCGCCACGAACAAGGCACACAATACCGTAGTAAGCACTTGCATGGCTTTAGAGCTCATAACTGCATTTCTTTCTGCAATCAGAAAATTAAATCGGTTATGCGAAAACGTCAAAGGAACAAAAAAAAAAAAAAATGGATTTCACGTTTCTCCTACGTTGTTGTTTTCGGACGACGGGCGTAACGAGAACGTTTTTTTTTTTTATCTATTCGACCGTTGCGGTGGACCGAGAAAGAGAACCGTGGAAGTGCAGTTATTCACGTTTCGTCAACAGTTCTACGGTAGCCGTGTACATATTCCGGGTACGTGTGTGTACGACGAGAACAAAGTGCGTTCATTAACGGTCAATAACAGTGCGGCACCATGTGATTAATGAAATGATAACGATAAGGTCGACGGGGAGTAGTTGCACTTTTACGGTGTTGGGATTGAGCCGTGCGCCAAACGTTTTTCCACGACATGTTCGTTAGTTTACACGCATTTCGGGGATTAAACGAAAAAATGTACAATCGTAAATGGTAGATCCGTGCTACTCATTGTTGTTGTACCTATTGCTCAGGGCAACTGATGTTGAGCCGTTGTATACTGCGTCCCGTTTTAAATTTTTTTACGTAAATTGCGGACCGGATATATTTTATGCTATATTTTATACATACCTACGAAAATTACGTCTGACGTTTTCTTTTTTTCGCAAAATCAATATTTTTATTCACATTTTCAGACTTAGGACTGGCGATATAATTATGATCTTTAGAACTATATGTACAAATATTATAATCAATAAATTTAAAAAAAGTATTTACACAATTTAACTGTGCAACATCAACGTTAATCATAATTTTTTAGTAATTGGTGAAAACGAAATTTAAAACCATCAAGTATTTTTAACGTTTTATTCCTTTCGGGCTTTCATAACGTTAATTTTTATTAAATCGGAAAAAAAAATACTCATTAGTAAACTGTAGAGGAACTTAAAAACACGTGCCTAGCAGAGCTTCGATAAAATGCTAATATTATGTAATATTATGTAAACCAACGTATTATTTAAATCGATCAATATTAAAGATAACATTAATACTTATCTTTAAATTGTACAGCCGACCGGAAATCGGAATATCCCCAGTTATAATTTACGTACATTTCAAATATACCCAGGACGCAATTTATGTAGTATACGAATATGACCCTTTTTTTTTAGGAACGTAATTTATCGAATCCGCTGATGCCGAGAAAATACCATCACGACGGGGGTTAATACGCACCGGGCACTTATCGTCGTGACGTTGAAACGAAAAGATCCGCTCTACACAATTATAATATGATATTCTAACGTTGCGGTAAATCCATTAAATAATTGAGACTATTATACGAATTAAAACATTAAGACACTACTAGACCAAATGCTCTTGTAATAATTATAATATGCTGATGTCCGTGTTGAGGAGTGACGTAAACAATATTTAATTATGTAGGTGTACCTTGGTATAATAATAACGCATCGCATGATTGTAATTTATAATATAATTTGTACACCTAATCACTATACTTAATTTTTTTTTAACCATTTTATCCGTAGTATTATCCATATAATTGTAGGTACACTAATATAGTAGTTACGACGGTTACGAGCGGATTTTACTTTTAACAGTAGTGTTTTATTAATTATTTAAATTATTTTTTTTTTTTACGACGAATGTAGCATATAAATTTAACATTTTCATGAGAATGTTTCTGAGAACTACGACGTTACATGTGTATGTGGAGAATAATATTAAAAAATAAAATAAAAATATCTTTTAAATATTGTTATAACTATAATACTACCTATGTATGTGTGTGTGTGTGTGTGTTTACAGTAAACGTGCGAATGTTGAATATTACACATTTATTGATAAACTTACAATGGCACTTACGGTACAACACAACGGAACGAACGAAAAACATCTACCACGAGTTATCTCCAACATCATTCGAAAGTACTTATTTCAAAAATTCATAACGCGCAAAACGCCAATCATGTTTTGATCCATTATGTTAAATGTGTCGCTCAATACCGTTCGAATCGTTCGACTATTAAACACCAAACGATTTTGATTTCGGTTAAAATTATTTTTATGTTAACCGCGTTCAATTAGAACGATTCAAATAATTGTTTTGTATAAATAATTATTTCCCTCTTGGATGAAATCATCGATGAGAAAAAAAACGTTATTTTAATGCGTATGTATGGGTAAAGGTGAAAATCAACAGTTTATGTTCTCACGTTCAACGTAGAATGTCACAAACAGTGCGGATAACGTGCGAACTATGTAAATACGCAATGAAACGTCATCGATGTTTGTTCCAATATTCTATTTCGAACGGAATAGACAATGGAAATATCAATCGTATAGCAAACCGTTGCTAAACCGTTATACCTAACGACAATGTACGTCTAATGTAACTAATTCCAAGCGTACACGGACACACCTTCGACCACTGCGGTTAAACGATATCTATTCACACTAACGTGTTATGGTATCAATTAACTATACGTGCATATTTTTAACTATCCGTCGCCCGTTTTCTAAATGGGTTTAGTATAAATCCATTTCAATGTTCGTTTTCTAATTCAAAACAATTACGGAGAGAATCGATCGAAAAGGTGCAGTCGATATACATATACACATATATATATATATCGATGGGGCGAATAAATTGCAGAAATGTCAAGTTAATATCTTAACTCGTTAAGTGTTTTGTTAAAAAAAAAAAAAAAAATGTATAGTTTATGTTATGTTTTCTCTGTAGGATAGTTCGTGTTTGATCATGAAGCTCATACTCCCACGATAAAATAATTAAACTGCTATTGATGGAGAAAAATGTTATTTTATTGGACACAAAAGAAAATCAACAGTTTATTAATAGCACATAGTTTGACAGCTGTATAAAGCGTGGACATGCAAAAAAATCATGTAATATCAAGTTCTTCCAATACACTTTTTTTTAAAAAAAAAACAAGTCGATATTATTTATCATAATTTAGAAGAACTGTATAAATAGTAAATTTATCTAATTAGTCAGCACGTAAAATGTTTGTTTATATGACATACAAAGGCATACAGACACGTGATTATGCGGTTATTACGATTTGAATACAGAGTTATGAAAACTGTATTCAAATCACAGCATTTCACTAAAAATTACTCTTGATTGTCAACAATCATTGTTAGCACCACTATTGTCACTTATAAGACGTTTAAAAAACATTTTAACGGCGGTTACTCGTAATGAGTTTTCTATAAAATCGTGCTTGAGTAGGTAGAAACAAGATGGTCTCTGACGGCAAAGTGGTTCGGTTTATTTTTAAAAACTGATTAAAAACCGAAAAATGAAAAAAAATCATACAATATAGTGTGCTTTTTATAAAACTAATAACGATCAGAGTGTTTTTTTTTGATCGAATAACATATGTAGAAGTAAAGGTCTATGAAATGCGTACGATAATATGTAGAAATATGTAATTGGGAAATATTAATAACATATTTTACCATAATTATTTCATGCTACTTTCATTATTATACATTTATCTATGTATGAAGTAAATAGTTAAGCATTTTAATTTGTACAAAGAGGGGGATAAATAATTATTGAGCCATGTGGCGGAGAGCAGATGATTAAACATTTTTACCCTTGACGATGTTTTTTGGACTTAAATGCGGTTCTTGTATTCTAGATCAACGACACGAAATGTCCTGAAAATCAATGGTTAGCTTTATAGATTTTAAAGCGGTTCAGTATCTTAGATGTCATTGATTTTTGACTCTAAGATATTGATCGGAAGCAATATGTAATTTATGAATAGATATTTTTAAAATCTTTGTACAAATCAATTTGAATATGATTTAAATGTACCGGTTATATACGAAAATAATCGTAATTGAAACTAAAAGTTATTTTTCTCATTTTAGTTTCACACAAACAATATTTAAACAGATAGTTCTAACAGTTCCGGTAAAAAATATTATAACACAAAACACGATTAAAATATTGGGTGCGTTATGGACTTTTACATGTGAAATGTTAACGAGAGGAAATGAAATGTCGGAAATATCTCTTCGTCGGCGTGTTTCGTTCATATTATATTATAGATAACCGATAATTGATAAATATTCATGTATACATGTTTACAACAAACATTTGTAGTAACGAATAATCATAATATTTAGAAGAAATATTTTTATATAATAACCATTGTAATTATTTTTCAGGTATCAGCCCGTAGTTCTTAGTAACGTTTAAACGAGAACAATATGACTAACTGTTAAGCGATTGCGTATAAAAAACGAATAATGGTACGTATAGTTTTGGGTTTTTCTTGCATTAAAAAAGTTCTTTGCATGAACACGTTACAAGCAGTATGGATGATTTAGGTATAACGTAGTATAATTCATAGGCATTATGAATAACGCCGACTAGCCTTAGACAATTGGGAAAAAACATATTTTTTACAATTTTTTTTCTCTAGATATTACTTATAAGCATTTTACTGAATTTTGATCAACTAGATAAGCTGCTCCGTATTTGTAAGAAAATAATTTTATTCCTAATACCCGAGGAAAAAATGTAATTATTTTTAAATGACTGTTTATTATGATTAATCGTAATATATTGCTATATTACTGTTAAAAATTACTTGTATTGCCATTATATGGTTGACGAGTGATATTTTGAATTGCAGACAAATGTTATACCCTATTGCGCATACTCTGTTTTTGGTATTTTCTAAAACAGCAAAGAAACTGAAGAATTGTACATTGACTGGTGATTTCAGGTGTCTTGTACAGTGCCTAAGCATAACGACGGATTATTTATATTGCCAGTAATTTATGTAGTATTACAATAGTTATATATATATATATATATATATAGTTACATCGTTTATTTTGTACAGTTAACAATTTCGTCCGTATATCAAATATTTTACTGCGCTAAAAACAACGAAAGAAACATCATGTGCAATACATTATTGTACATTTACGCCATGGTATTATATAAACATTATGTTCGGATAAACAACATCATATAATAGATAACAAGTGAGATGAAAAACGGGGAAAAAATAATGCAATAGTGCACGGTGTGTTTTCTATAGTGTGAGTTCTACGTCTGGTGTCAATGTTTATCGTCACCCGTAAAATGTTTCAGTGTTACAAAACCAAATTTTTGGATAAAATAAAAAAAAGGTTTTTTGAATGATAGCAAACGCCAGCGGTTCTCAACATTTTTTGTTCGTGGAGCAATTATGATGTTGAAAAATATTTAATTTAATTTCGACAATTTTAATTTTAATTTTTTTATTTAAAATTAGTATGCTGTATGAATTACAGGTTGTTAAATTTAATTTCAAAACAAACGAAAATCATACAATAAATAAATACCTACTAATTAGTAATTTAATAGCTTCAATGTGAACAAATATGTTTTTTTATTTCATTTACTAGTACTTCAATAGTTGATTTGAAGGAAGACATTTGAATACAGCACATATCTGCCTGTGTACAAGTACATTTAATCTATATAAATGTGATAATCACAAAATAATAAGAATATTTAAATTCGATCGCAGTTGGTATCGGATTACGTTGGGAAAATGGTTGTACAACGTTGATAACATTGAGTTGATGTAGACTCGTTGTAGAACATAATGATATAGTGCAAGAACACTGTGGTTAATTTCATTCGTATTTTTGTCCCTCGAAACCTTCGAATAATATAACATCGTGTAATCCAAGACGGTGTCGGCGGTCGTACACTTACTCCCAAGGCGAGCGGTATAAGAAAAAAAACCGATTTCGACGATATAATTTTATAGCATGCTTCCCCAGAGCGATTGTGTGCAAATAATCTGCGCTGCTAAACGGTATCCGAACGCATGTGGAAAGTGAAACCCGTGCGTTAAAACGGATTTTTGTCGAATCCGAAAGATTTGTATTCGGCCGAACAACAAAATAAACATAATTCATCGCCGTCGGACAAATGGGATCGCACCATTATACATTACAAACGAATACTATATAATGCCGCTAACAGCAGCGAGGTTCGTGCGTCGTCCAAAGCAAATTATTTCAAAATGTAATTCGAAAACCGATTGTTAAAAATTATTTTCGATCACTTATTGCAAAATCCTATACATTCGAATTTCACCGACGTATCGGAAATAAAGAAGAGAAAAAACATCGGAACGGTCAATACACTCGCGATTCCGACATAAGCGTTTTTTAACGCATACGAAGAACTAAGTAAGAGAAAAAAAATAATCAAACATGTTACCCAATATTTTTTCGTTTTCGGACTTCCTTCCGGCTACTCACAAGCGAAGTGTCCGACGCTGCTATATTGTCATTTATTCCCACTTGGGCCAGAGTAGGCTAAGCACTTCAAAACTTCTGTAATATGATTACACGATACGTCGATGCTTATGTACAGTATAAGATTTTGGCCGTATAATTGATTATGACTTTTTTTTTTTTTAAATAACCTTAAACAACAAAAACACGTGATCACGTTAATTATCCCCTGTCGGATATTACCTTACATGTTCCCGGACAGGACGTTGATTTTTTCGCTCTTCGGATACTCTTCGACTGCGATAAAACGTAAAAGATATTAATTTCACATCATCGTATCATGTGATGTTGATAAGTTGATTTGAGAATTCATTTCATTATTGTACGTTTATAAATGGAATATTATTTTTATGTACGTGTACTGTGTACGCTTGTCTTGCGAGGAAGTCTTCGCTTGGATTACTCGTATTGAAAAACAGTTGCACACTCTGACCGATCAAACGGTCTCGTTTTTCACGTGGTTCGGTGTTTATTAAAACGCAATTAGACGCTGCGCTCTAATGTCGGTATGTTGCACGGCGCAGTGCACGGCATATAATATCTGTACCGAACGGCGGACGTTTGCGTTATTTCATTACCACTGTCAGTTTCTCGCTTTCATCGTACGCGTGGTTCGTTTTTTTTCTTCCGGTAAATTAATTTTAAACCATAGCGTTTGTCGTTATTAAAAAATTTTTTTTTTTTTTTTTAAAAACGCAATTGACCTATGCAACGCGAAAACGATTACATTCGTCATTTCCCAACGTCAATAACGTTTCGTCCGCGTCCAGCGTCTTATACGTGCACGTAAAATAAACGTACCATCATGGCAATGTCCGCACGCGATAGACATTTGTAACATTTCGCGTACCGAGCGCGGTACATTTCTCCACGACGAATTCAACACGCGACCGCAGCAGGCCCGACGTCAGATATTTTCCGCTCTAAAGCGAAAATCGTATTGCCGCCCACCTCACTAAATACATTACGAATCAGAATTACAGTATGCCGCGATCATTTGTCGCAGCGAGCCACTGAAGCCGGGACTGTGCGCAGGAATCGTCCAAAAGAGGGGACTCAAAATTAAATTTATTATGTTAGGTAAAAAGTCGATAGAAAAATAAAATGCACGTTGCAATGTCGAAAATCAACATATGTCAATAAATGCCTGAACATCTTGAACAGCTTGACCTGTCAGTGAAAACGCGTTTTATAGATTCACAACGACAATAGGTGGAAAATGTCCGAAAATTAAATAGAAAAAGGCGTCAAATCGAGAAAAATCGAGCACTATTATAACGAAGATAGACAACTACGTATGAATTGTCTAGCCAGTTTGAATGTGTGGAATGAGGATTAGGTATACTCTTAGTGAAAATATTCTCAATTTGGGGGGGGGGGTTAGGTTGGAAACCCCAAAACTCCCTCTTGCGCACCGTCCGGACTGAAACTAACAGTGAAGACGCGTCAACATAATCGTTGCCATCCGTCGTCGACGTTTATCCAATTTTACCGCTTCGATTTCTTTAAAATTGTACGCCGCTCCGAAGCAACGCATGACTCGTTTGTGTCCCAGCGACGGGCCGTGACCGCGGTCACCATTTGTCGTTTCGAAAAACGCCATATGCTAATGTCCCAAAATTTGAATGACGTTTGACAATTTCCAGTCTTAAAAATGCGCGTCGACGTAGGATCTCAAGCGTACATGTTTCGCGTCGTACAAGAAGTTTAATTAAGGATATTCCGTCTGGATATACTACAAGTGACGACGTCGCGTGAATGTTTTTCGTCTTCACGCATCGCCGTGAAGATACGAGTGGACGGATAGTATTATACACGCCGTAACTCCGTAGTTGTCCGGATTAAAGTATTTTTAGACAGACTTCATTAAACCGTCATTGGAGACGGTCGGATGTGTTATGTGTGCACAAATTAAGTATCAAGTTTAAACTTTGGCATATTTATAGGATACAGTTGAGCCGGCCGAAAAAGAAAAAAAAATTAGAACAGTTCTATTGCACATTGAATTCTCGGTAATCTGTAAATCGTGTTGTAGTCGAACCGAAGAACGCATAAAAAATTATGTTATAATACGAATAAAAAAATTGCATTTTTATCTCATCAGTGAAAATATCATCGTTTCAACAGCAGCGATGTCTGATAAAAGGCAAGTCAATAGTTATACTGCCGATAATGGTATTACGAATACTTTGATTTTAACATTTTATGTTATTCGTGATTTACATTTAATCTACTGAAAACGTGAAAACGTTTGGATGCACTAGTATACAGTTAAGCGGAGACAAAATACAGCATAATAAGGAGTTTGTACAATTAATATGATTATAAAACTTCTGTCCAAGTATAGATGGGGAAAAGTACAACTGTAATAATTTATACAGATGGGTCAATACAAAGTTATAGGTAACACTTATGGCGATATTATGTTTGACTGATAATTTATTATTATTAATAATACGAATACCGAGAATTTATTGATTTAAGTTTATGAGCATTAAAAATTGCATAACTCGCGATAATGCACAGCGTTTTTAAAAATATTAGAATTATCATTGGACTAAGAGAAATCACCGAATTAAATAATGTGTACGACGCGATAACCTTTAACGCGTTTGAATAATATATTAAAATGTACATTATAATGTTATGATTCCATGTTAAACTATATATATTGTATTCGTTTACAAGTACAGCTATATACAGTCTGCATGTTCACGCATTATAAACAAATAAACTGCAGTTACTCGTGCAGCACTGTATGTCAAAAATGAGCTAACGAATTGCAGAAACGCGAATATATTTTTTCCCTATTTACTCGTTTACCGTAATCGAAGGTTCGAATGAAAATCCTGACTCGTCGCGGTAAGAATAAGAAACTCACAAGGAAGTTAAAACGAAATATTTTCAAGACCTGCAACTATTGCGATACCGATAAGAGGACGACAGTACATTTTGCGAGTGGATTCGATTTTTTCGACATGACCGTTTCGCGAGGTATGATTACGCACGTCTGCAGTGCACAGAACAGGAGTGTTATTCGAAATGTATTCAAATGTTTGGAAATCGGTTTTGAAATATTCGTACATAATTGGTTAGCCGCGATGAGTGTTTTGCGAACGATGATCGTTGTAGAACCGCCTACTGAAAACACCGTTATAATAATACATACCGTGTGCAACCGAAACGTTTAACTTCTTTTGCAATAATAATAACGATATTGCGCGGCCTGCAGGGACCAAACAATTACAAATGAAAACGATACGAACCGACTGGCTGTAATAATAACTATTGAAGTGGAGTGTTGTTTGAACATAGGTTTTTTTTTTTATTACACTCCAATACGGTAATGGACGTATCACAGTAATTATTGTACACGTGGGTTTTCCTGTCGACCCATGCACGGGGTACGTGCCTGTGGATCTGCGCGCAGGGCTGCAGTAATGTTTGCATTGCACGACGATGACCGGGCTCGACTGGTGGACGAGTTGTTTGTCCGCGTGAATCAAACCACGCGTGCACACGCACGGCCGAACGTCCAAACAGCAGAGTTCGTCGCCGTCATCGTTTTTTTTTCCTTTTTGTCGTCGGCCGAAAAAAACACACGCGCACGCCTCCGAACCGTTGGCACACTTAGTCTATGGTCAGACTAGACCCGGCATCGGCCGGATTAACGTTCGGCCGAAAAAAACAAAATATTTTGTTTTCATCCGACATCGGCCGTAAACGACCGAATTTCTCGGATGTAATGTGACCGGGTACAATTGAATTTTATACTTTTATTTTTTTCGTCCGTATTCCGCCGTGTTCGGCAATCGTTGTCTGATCTAGTTTGATCGTAGACTTACGCGAGTTCCAGTAGACTTCGGTTGCCGCGCATCGCAGTCGTGAGACATATTTTTACATATTTTCGTAGGAACGTATCCGGAGAAAAATGCCAACTACATTATCACGTGTCTACGAAATCTTTCGGGGCGTAGCCACTGCTGTGTACAGATCCGTATCGATGCGCGTGTTTTGGTATATTTTGTTTTTTTCTCTATAAATCCCGACAATGATGGTATTTCGTCTTCCGGTCGCATGCGCAACGCACGCAAGGACGACGAACGAGAGAGTAATTTATTTTTATTCGCAGCAGACGCGTTCGGCCCAAGGGTAACGATAAATATCGCTCTAGCAGGACGAATTCCAGTACCGTGCAAAAGCGTCGGCTTTTGGAGATGAAACGGTATTCGGTTGATTATACGAACAGCCGTCGTATCGTTCGCCGGTATTCAAACGAACAATCGGGCGCAACAATATTTTGATACACAACGTAATCATAAATTTTATTTTCCACAATAGTTTCGGGCCGCGACGAAGTACAGTTGAACGCGACGCCGTATCGTAAAAATCGCTAAGGTGATCGTTTTAATTTATAGTAATTGCACGTAGGCTGTAATTTTTTTAATGACATTGTTTACACACGCGCGCGACGAGAACCTTACCTAACTTAACGAGGTGTTATTCGATGATTTTTCATGGAAAAAAAACGATAATTATGTGTAGTTGGACGTCGGTTACCGGCGGTGAAGGACGAGAATCGTTTTCGAACGCGGTTTGAAAACAAAATCGCGGCGCACGATGTGTACCGATTTCTACGTGGTGCGCTCGGGCGGTTTTTTTTTTTTAACAAAACGTTCGAGACGTTCTCGACGCAGTCCGATGACGAGAGGATCGCGCAGCAACGTGAGCTAGTTTTTCGGAGCAGTTATCATGGCTGAGATTAACGATAGTTTCATTATCATTCTGTTCGTTATCACTAAATATAATATAAAATCTATAAATATGATAAACAATTTAAACTCTGACGTTATTAGCCCTATTAATATCTACAGTGAATTAGAATATTCGTTATTTTTCAATTTACCATATGTCTTTGCAGTGTCATCAGATAAGAGGGAGGG